CTATCCAAGTTATTTGTTCATTTAATGAGTTGGACTTTTTGTGAGTGCTTATTCATTTGGTAATTTTTGGTTTTTTGGAGGGAGAATGGGTGCCATGCCATGCATGTGGAGGTCAGAGGACAATTTGTGGGAGTTGGTTCTCTTCTTCCTACAAGTGGCAGGCACCTTACTACTGAGCCATCTTCCTAGCTTGTCTTTTTTACTTCTTTGTAGATTCTGGATATTAACCTCCTATCAGATGTGAGGTTGACAGATTTTCTCCCATTCTGTATGTTGTCTCTTCATTGTTGTTTCCTTTGCCATGCACAAGCATTTTAATTTCAGAAATCTCATGGTCAGTTCTTATAATTTTTTTTCTGTATCAATTGGGGTCATTTCCAGAGTCCTTGCCTATATTCCGATTTCCGGATATTTTCCTTTAGTAGTTTCAGGTCTTACATTCACACGTTTAATCCATTTTTAATTTACTTGGGTATAGGGTGAAAGATATGGATCGTTTTATTCTGCAGACCAATATCCACATTTCCCGGCACATTTATTGAACACACGATCTTTCATGCAGTGTGTATTTTTTACGCCTTTGTTATGTTGGCTATAGCTATATGGGTTTGTTTCTGGCTTCTCTACTGGATTCCACTGACCTTCACGTCTGGTTTTGTGCCATATAGTTTTGCTACTATAGTCTGTAGTATACTTTAAAATCAGATATTATACTTCCAGCACCAAGCTCTCTACTAAGATTGTTTTGGCCTTTCTCTCTCTCTTTCTTGTGGTCCTAAACTGATTTTAGGATTGCTTTTCCCAGTTCCCTGAAGAATGGCATTGGAATTTTTATGAGAATTGCTTCAACTCTGCTATAAGCCTTTTCATAATATTGATTCTGCCACCCTGCAGCATGGAGAAGTTTCCCATCTGTGTCTTCAAATTCTTCCCTCTGTGTTGTAAAGATTTCACTGTAGAGTTCTGTCCCTAAGTTTATTCCTAGAAACTACGCTTTAAAAAATAATTTATTTCATGTGTGTGAGTGCTTTTTCTGTGCACCACAGGCATGCCTGGTGCCTGAGGAAGTGGTGAGACTCTATGTGGGTGCTGGAAATCAAATCCTGGGTACTTTGCAAGAACAGTGCTCTTAACCACTGAGTCAACTCTCCAGCTAGATTTAGGATTGATTGATTGATTGATTGATTGATTGATTGATTGATTTTGAAGCTATGGTGAATGATATTTCTTGTTTAAGTCTTGACTTCTTTCTCAGCAAATTTTATCATCAAAAAGGGATTTGTCTTCTTTTATGGTTTTCATCTCTTTTATATCCTTGTTGGTATAATGTTCTTGTAGAGATACAATTTACCCTTGTTCTTTCAAATGCTGATTTCTCTACTCCATTCTCTGGTTTAAACCTGGACATTGCATTGTGATGTTTATTCTAAGCATCACCTGTCTCAAGTTTGTGTAAACATGCCACCATTTGTTCTCTGTGTTGTCAATAAAAACAAACAGCACCAATAATGAACAATGGAGAGAATAGGGTGGGACATCTGGTCCAGAGGGGAGTAGAGAGAAGCGAGTAGGAGGAGGGCAGGAATCAGAAATCGGGAGGAGAAGTCTTGGAACCATGAGGAATGATGAACTGGACCTAAAATACAACTAAAAGCAAGTATAATGTGGGAAATTCTGAATGGGAGGAAACCATTGAGGCTTGGAGGTTTAGGATGGAGTAACTATTGCCCAGCATTGTGCTCTAGGTTAACTAAATAAATCCTAGTCTCTGTGTGGTGATTTGGGTATACAGCTGGTTTAGGAATAACCACTGTTTAATTAAAAGATAAATCAATAATAAATATTAGTATCAGACAACAATCTCTTTTTTGAGGGGTTATGGTTCCTAAAACTTCAAGCCCTATAATGGATTAAAATGGAAAGAGCAGATACCTTTATCTCTTGGTTTTCATGAAAATGCTCTCAAATTTTATCCCATAATATTGGAACTCCTCACTATGTAGACTAGGCTGGTTTTGAATTCACAGAGATCTGCTTATTTCTACTTCCCAGGTACCAATCTGACTGATATACAAATCAGATTAAATTTCTTCTTGGATAGTTAGACACACACACACACCAACTTCTGATTACTGTTAGCATCTTATCTCTACTCCATCCCTATTTCCTGCCTGCTTCTTCCCTACAAGTCTTTTTATTGAAGTATATACCTCCTATTCCTACTTTCTCATGAAAAAATTTTAAGCTATCTTTTAATTATTTATGCATAGTATTTTGCCTTCATGTACCCCTGCATGCCAGAAGAGGACACCAGATTTCATTACAGATGGTATGGTTGCTGGGAATTGAACTCAAAACCTTTGTTAGAACAGCCAATGCTCTTAACCTCTGAGCCATCTCTCCAGCCCTCTCATAAAAATTTTATAAAAAAGGGAGGTTGATTTTGTCAAAACACTTTTCTGTCTCTGTTGAGATGATCATATAGTTTCTGTCAGAGTCTATTACATGGATTGATTTGTGTTTATCATCCTTACACTCCTGGGATGAAACAAATCACTGCATGATGGTCTTAAGCATGATGTACAGGAATTTAATGAGAATTTTGTGTCTGTGTTCATTAGGAAATTCTGGATTTCTTTGGTCTTCATGTTGTGCCTATTGATGAGAATGGGACATTGAAGTTGCCCACTCTTACTATGTCTGGACAGATCTTCTTTTATATAAAGGAATGGTTGTTTTGTGAAAATGAGCACACCAAAACACGTAATTGTTAGTTAGATCTTCATGATGAATTGATCCTGTCAGTAAAATGTAATGGCATTCTTTTACCGTATGAATTTTGGTTGAGGTCTACCTTACCAGAGTTAAGTATAGCTTTGGCTTGATATACCAACTCCCATCATTTGATTCTCTCTGTGCATATCTGCCAGAGAAGTGTCTTTCTTATAGACAACAAATAGATCCTGTTTTTCAAGAGTTAAGTCTTTTTAATGACAGATTACATTTTGAGTTGTTGAGAGAGATTTGCTGGTTCTTATAACTTTGTTAATTTTGTTGTTTTCCTGTTTGGTTCAGTAATTGTTTTTCTTTTATGGTCTTTCCTTCTCTATTAAGGTTTTCTGAGTTGAACACAATTTTTCCCTAGCTTTTTTGTTTATCTGTTCCTTTTAGGAAATTTATTTTGTACTATCAGTAGGATTCTTTAATATCTTCTGCAATGCTGGCTTGGGGGTCACAAGTTTGTTTAGTTTGTGTCTGTCTTGAAATGCTCTTTAATTTCTGTCAAATTTAGAGGATAATTTTGCTAGATATTTGACTGGCATTTATTTACATCCACAGCTTGGACTCATTCCATCCTTTCTTGGCTTTCACTCTCTACTAAGAGGTCTCTTGTAGGCAGGTTTGCCTCTAGGAGATGGTGCTGTTCTTACAGTTTTCTTTTTTTTTTTCTTTGAGACAGGGTTTCTCTGTGTAGCTTTGGCTGTTCTGGATTTGCTTTGTAGACCAGGTTGGCCTTGAACTCACAGATTTGCCTACCTCTGCCTCCCTGAGTGCTGTCAATACTGTTTGTTTTATAGTCCTGGCATTTTAGTGTTACACAGATATACATGAAGGCGAGACAATCATGTACATAAAAATAAACAAATCTTAAAAATTAAAGTAAATAAAAGACAGACATATCTCTTTATTAGTTTAAAAAATAAAATAAAATCATGCCAGGCAGTGGGTCGTAGGCCTCTAATCCCAGCACTTGGAAGGCAGAGGCAGGTGGACCTCTGAGTTGAGGCCAGCCTAGTCTAGAGAGTGAGTTCCAGAACATCCATGGCTACACAGAGAAACCCTGTCTCAAGAAAAAGGAAAAAACAAGTCACTTGAAATCTTGCTCCAGCTAGCCAAGAAAAGGCTCAAAATTAAGAAAAAGAACATGAGAGGTTTGAACAGCAAAGCACAGGAATCCAGTTTAAATAATAGTTGTGTAGATTACATAGGCCACAGGCAAAGCACTGCTGTAAAGCACTTCCTTCAAATATTCCTTGTGTTATAAAGACATGTGGGGAGTCTACCTTTTCCTCACATGTGGATGAACACTTAAAAGGGGTAAGTCCTTGGTTGGAGATGGCTCAGCTCAACATGTAAGAGCAGTCGCTGTGCAAGCATGGCGACCAGTCTGGATACCAGCAACTACATGACATGTCAGGTGTGAACTCTCATGTCTGTCACTCCAGAACTGAGAAAGATGAAGGAAGACAGAAGGATCACAGAGGCTTGCTGTTTGCCAATTGTGAGCGGTAGATTCAGGGAGACCCTACTTCAAAGAAATAACGTGGGGAGTAGCTGAGGACACTTGCAGTCACCTTCCCCGCACATGCATGCGCGGGGGCGCACACACACACACACACACACACACACACACACACAACTGCTGCTGTACCACAAATGTGGTTGGATTTCCACAGGGAGAGTTATAACTCTAATATAAATAAATAATAGCTACCACTTTTTAATTACATTAATTTAATTCTGTGTGCGGGGTGGGCCCTGTGAACCATAGCATGTGTGTGTTCTGAGGATAACCTTCAGGAGTCAGCTCTCCTTGCTCTCCCTGCTATGTAGCATGCCAGGGATCCAGGACTAAACTCAGGTCGTTAAGGTTGGCAGCAAAGTGCCTCTACTCACTGCATATCTTGCCAGCCCTAGAATGCTAAGTTTTTGTTACAAGAAAACTTAAGGGAACAATTTTCTGTAGTCTTAAATTCTAAAAATAAATATTAAATGACTTGGGTCACTAAAATGCTTTACTTGCTAAAAATAAATACACTGATATCAATTATGATCAAGACTTTGCCATTTTTTCCACCTAGATATGAATATATTTCTTTATTAACAATACAAAGAATCACGTGGGCTCAAAAGTGATTTAAAACTTACATGTACATATTCACAGACTATAATACAGAAAAAAGACTAAGTATGTTAATAATTATCTAAGTAGTAGATTTCTAAGTAATTTGTTTTCCTTTATATAGTTTCTGTATTTTATACATTTTTCTATAAGAACATGTTAGTTTTATAATAAAAAGGGTTTTATCCACTTACTCTACATATATGCTTGTAAGTACCGCTCAGGGAGGAGACCTAAAGAAAATGGAATGTCACTAGTCCCTGTCAGTTCACCTGGGCGCTTACGGATCACCTAGTGTGCGAGGCATATTGCTCCCCTGCCTCCTCTGTATTTATTTAAGTCGTTACTATGAATGTCTTTAGTTTTAAAATGGGGGCGGCAGCACATGGATTTCCGCCCCAGTGCTCCAGCTCCGAGAGTGTGCTAAGGGCCTGACTGGAGCTGTGCTTCCACACACAAGCTTTTGGGACAGTCATGCAGTTTATATGCATACTGATTATTTTCCGAATGTCTTCTTGCCTATTATATAGAAAGGTTCCAATTTTACAGCAATGTCAACACCCCTGGCCATGCTTTTTGTTGTTGTTTTTGTTAATGAGATTTATCCTTAGATTTCTCTTTCTCCTTTTTCTTCTGTTTTTCTTCTGCTTGTTTTTCAAAATAATCTTTAAGAAGATGGTCCAGCTGTGGCTCACACTGGCTCGCATGTTGCAATCCGTCTTCCCTTCCTTGAAAGATACAAAACATGAGAGCTGTTCTTTACTCTTCAGGGGTTTCCACACTATTGTCCCCTAAGTTATTGTCTCCCAACAGGTCATGGACCCCACAAAAACCATCCAGGAATTAACCCCACCAAGTCAGTTTTAATTAAAAATGCTTGAAATAGGTACATTTTTATTTTACCTTCACAGTGCTGAATCACACGTCCCCACAGTCTATTTTTCCTCAAACAGGATAGACTTCCCACAATCAGCAAATGTCTCCTTCCTCTGGTCAGCGCAACATTCATTCGTTTTTCTGAATCAATGAATCCTACTTGTCTTGTCCGCACGCAAGACAGAATAATGATTTCCTTTTCAGCGCCCTGAAAGGCATCCACTGTGGACACCTGTACAGCTTTAACATCAGGAAGGCCGACATCCACAGCACTGAGTAAATGGAAAATCTGTAGAGAAAGAAACAGGTTCATAAGGTGCAGAGATTAGGAAGAACCAGTCTCCAACCTGGTCAATGCAACCATTTGGAGTAAACTAATTCAGGAATATTTTTATTTCTATCTTAGGAAGTATTTAAAACTGAAAACGACAATAGTATTATTTATGAAGCATAATCAAAAGTAATGATTACTTTATTGCAGGGATTTTACTTGTACATGCTAATTTGAGCTAATAAGTAGCTAATAATAAAAAATAAGAAATACTAAGAGAGAAAAGATTACAAAAGTCTGTTTAGCAGTAATTGGCTGTTATGTACATTAATACCTGGTGGATCCATGCTTGATTTACTGATGAAATATAATAATGCAAGAACATTTTGAAAAACATTCGCAATCCCATCTGTCCCCAGACACAAAGCATACACCATGTTTTCCTCCTCTAATCTGTTTATTTGCATTTTGTCCCAACAGCTGTATACTGAATTTAATTAAACCTTGTTAGATTTACATTGAGTTATGCAGAAAAAATCCAGGTCAGAAAATACATCAGTATGTTCCTTTCTAAGTACACAAATGACAGTCCCAGAGGTTCAGGCACCAAGTTAACTACCCCAAGTGTAAGACCAAATATTATAATGTAGAATACGATGTTTAATATGTGACAGACATCATCACATGTAGCACACACCTTGTACATCTGCGATTTGTATAATGTTATCACCCCAATCATGGAGCCCGCTACTCCACTTGCGATCAGTGATTGGATTAGCTTGAGTGTAAAAGCTGCTTCTGCCACATTCTGAAAGCTGTTCTCGCTTTGAACCTGGAGTAAGAAACAGATCTGAAATTATCTTCCCAGAAAGGCCACGGAAAGACTAAGTAAAACCGTACAAACAACAACAATAAAATTAAGCCAAGAAATTAAGCAGTGATCCCCACCAACACTGATGTCATTCACCTGCTCTGCTCCTGCAACATTATAGAAACACAGCGTGGGCAGCCACTCCAGGACAGGGCTTCTCTCTTTCTCTGAAACACCATTCACCAGGCTCCCTTCATAAAACAGATCATTAGCTATGGCACTGATCACAGGGTGACAACGGTATTGGGTTCTCAACAAAATGGGTTTGTGACCCTATGAAATTTAGATGGAGGAAAACAAAAAATTAAAATACAGCATTTCCTTTTTTTTTCTCCCCCTAGGGAAAAAGAAATCCTATTTAAAATTTGTTAATGTTACGTCATGCTCTTAGATAAAATAGAACAATGAGAGAACAAACTACAGATAAATATTTTAAAGAAAATTATTAAGCCGAGTGATGGTGGTACATGCCTTTAATCCCAGCACTCAGGAAACAGAGGCAGGTGGATCTCTGTGCATTCGAGGACAGCCTGGTCTACAGAGCAAGTTCCAGGGCAGCCAAGGCTACAGAAAGAAACCCTGTCTTAAAAAACAAAACAAAACAAACAAAAAACCCCAAAACAAAAAAGAAATTATAAATGTGTTCATAAAATATAGAGTAAATCAAATCTTAATGTTCATGGCCCCCTCCAACATTATGCTTTCTAATGATAAGAATAATGATTTGGCCTAATGATTAAGGCATTTACCATTAGGCAGGCCTGGTATATATAAGCCTGTGATCACAGCTTAGGGGAGGCTAAGGCAAGCAGATCACAAATGCAAGCTCTATCTGGACTGGAAAGAAGTTCAACATCAACTTAGTGAGACACTGTCCCAAAATGCCAAGTGACAAGGTCACTGTACTTGCCCAATACACCATGCCCTAGGTTCATCGCCTGCTACTGCTGACAGTCTGTTCACTTTCTTCCTTGGATAAAGCCACTGTTTCATTCAGAACCTTCAAAGCAGCCCCAGCTCTCATACCGCATCCTAGCATCCAAGTCTCACCATTCCAGTGAGTTTCTGCAGCACATTATTTACAAAACTTTCTGGTGTTATTAAAATATCTCCAGTAAGTGCAAAGAATGAAAATAACAAATACTTATATAGCAAATGTAGAATTAAGGACCTCATAAACAAAGAATCTTCTATGAGAAACACAAGAACAATGAAGAACTCAAGCCTCACTGCTCTATGTGGCACAGAGTTGTTGAAGGTTCTAAGTCTAAATCTGTCGGGAGCCACTCCCGCCATTACAAGATGGCGCCGGTTTCCTGCTTCCTGGTTCTTCTTGCCAGCATTGTTTTGCGATCTGTGCATGCGCCGCCTTATGCTAATGTAGGCTTGTGTGGTCCTCCATTTGGAGACCACATGCTAATTGGGTTTTGTGTGGAGCACCAATTACAGACAAACAAGTCACCCTGCTGGCTACTTAAGCAGAACGCACACAGGGTTCAGGGTCCTTCTCCATCTGCTGTTAAGAGCCTCACAATAAAGTTGCTGCTGGACAAATCCGTTGTTGCTGCGTCGTCCTTATCGGCGAGGGCTGCGCGCGACAAGTGGTGCCGAAACCCGGGAAACCTGCCGAACCCCGGGCGGAGGAACGACTCGAAGGACCCCCGACTGCTCGTCGGAGGAGGATTCAAGCCAGCAGTGCGAAACCGCGGTACTTTTCTGCAAGGTATGATTTCTGTGGTCTGGTGTATTCCGTTTCTCAATGTTAGTCTCGTTTTTGTCTTGTTGTGTTGTCTGTGTCTTAATTGTGGGAAACGGGATAGAGTGGGTGTAAAGGAGGGGCAAAGAGCGTTAGCAGACCATCAGGATAGTCTATCAGAAGCAGAAAAGGAAGAAATATTAAAAAAGGATAAAAAAGAAGAAATAGTCAAAAGGGAGAAAAAACCCAAAAACACGGGAAAACTTTCAAAACTCGAGTCAAAAAATAAAGAATCAAAGATGATATCAGAAACTAAAGGAAATACAAGCAAAAAGGAAGGGGTTAACAAGTTGTACCCTCTCCTGGATAAGTTTAAGACTCTTAAGGTGGAGTCCTCTTCCGGTGAGGAGACGTCCTCGGAGGAAGAGGAACCACGACAATCTGCTGACTCTAGTGAAGAGGAAGAGATAGAGCTCGATCCTGATGAGCAAGCAGAATTAGATGAGGAAGCAGCAAAATATGAAGCAGAGAGATATGGCCCTGACCCGCCTTATGCGCCAGGGTATGGTGCGACAGCGCCCCCTCTCGAGGAAATGATCCAAGTCAGAAAAAGGAGTAAAGCTACTAGGGCTATGGCTCCTAATTCATTAATTTCAGAAAAGGAAAGAAAGAAAATTCAGGCTGCTTTCCCCGTCTGGGAAGATGCGCAAAATCAAAGGCAGCACTCACCGTTGGATCTGAAACAATTGAAGGCTTTGGTGGAGTCAGTACAAACCTATGTTATTAGTGCCTCATTTACGCAGGCGCTGATAGAAAGACTAGCAGCCACAGCTATGACTCCTGATGACTGGTCCAAAACAGTGAGAGCATGTCTTACTATGGGACAATATTTAGACTGGAAATCCATTTATCAAGAGCTGTGTATGGCTCAAGCAAAGCAAAATATAGCCAATTAACGGCCTCAATGGAATTATGATATGCTTACTGGACAAGGCCAGTGGGTAGTTAATCAGACCTTATACCCACCTGAAGTATATGAACAAATACCGGTAACAAATCAAGGCTTGGCAGCAGCTGTGCTCTCTGCTCTTATTACTCCTTACACTAGCCATCAAGTACAGGTGCTATGCTCCACTCTAGATGTATGGGCTGTGTTACGATGCACCTACTCCGGCAACATTGATAATCATTAAAGGACCGGATCCTATTTTAATAAGATCCAGGGGAGCTGTGTGTATTTTCCCACAGGACCAAGAAAATCCAATTTGGGTTCCGGCGCGATTGACCCGGGTGGTGAAGCACGATGACCCTGATCCTGATGTTGAACGGACTGCTGACGAGCTTGGAGGTGGAGACCCAGGAGATTCGATGGGGGATCCTGTCAGCCTTTCCTCGACCCATGCCGGTGATGCATGATGCACAAGTCTTCCCAAGATTTTTCGCCACTAATGACTCTCTGGGACTACCTTATTTGCCAATGTCTATCTTCTGCCTTTTCCTATTTTAAGGAGTGGGTTGGCGTGGGAATGTTTGGAGTGTTGCTACTGGCTGGACTGTTTCTCTGTTTTTGGTTGCTCTGCAGATTCAAAAGACAACAACATTTCAAAAATGTGGCCATGGTTTAGGCTATGTTGGCTGTGGAACAGGGAGCCTCCCCTCAAGTCTGGCTTAACGTGCTCAGCCGTTGAGACTCTGTCAGAACTTTTAGCACCCCTGAAGGGCACAGGTTCCCATTGCACCAGGATGCTGTTCTAGACAGACCTCTGCACTCCCCAGGGCTCGGGTTCCCATTGCACGGGGCTAAGGGTGCAGAGGGTCTCCTGCACCGTGTAACCTCCTTGATCGCTGGTGCTGTTGAGTCAGCAGGCTGATCGGAAAACTCATGGTGTAATATTTTCCTCTGGCTGATTTTTATAAAATTAATAAGGGGGAGATGTCGGGAGCCACTCCCGCCATTACAAGATGGCGCCGGTTTCCTGCTTCCTGGTTCTTCTTGCCAGCATTGTTTTGCGATCTGCGCATGCGCCGCCTTATGCTAATGTAGGCTTGTGTGGTCCTCCATTTGGAGACCACATGCTAATTGGGTTTTGTGTGGAGCACCAATTACAGACAAACAAGTCACCCTGCTGGCTACTTAAGCAGAACGCACACAGGGTTCGGGGTCCTTCTCCATCTGCTGTTAAGAGCCTCACAATAAAGTTGCTGCTGGACAAATCCGTTGTTGCTGCGTCGTCCTTATCGGCGAGGGCTGCGCGCGACATAAATCAGCACACATGTAAAACCTAGGATGAAGCCTCAGGTATAAACATACTGCAAGGACCACTACTTGTCATAGAAACAACTAGGATTTCAGTGATAGAGAGGTGACTAAATTATGGAGAGCCACACAACATCGTATTTGGTGATTTCTGACAACACTGATGACTGCAAATCAAACAATGCTAAGGGAGCAGTAGCTGTGTTGGGACAGAAACCTAGTGCTCAGTGAGAAGGAAGCCTTCCAGAAAGAAGGCTAGAGGTTACCAGATACAGGAGGGAAGGAGGAATTAGAAGTCATCAGTTAATAAGTACAAAGTTGCTACTGGGATGATTTAAAAAACAAAACAATATAGAGTTGGTGAGATGGCTCAGTGGGTAAAAGGCATTTGCCATCAAGCCCAATGACCTGAGTAGAGAACAGATTCCTGTAAGTTGTCCTCTGACCATGCACAGACAGACACACAAATAGTAAACAAAAAAATTTAAAAGATGGTACATACATACAACAGATTTTTATTCAGCTGTAAAGAAAATAAAATTATGTAACTTGTATAAAAATTGATGGGACTGGAAGTCAGAATGAGCCAGACTCAAAAAGCCAAATATTGTACTTTTTCGCTCATGTGGAACTTACATTTAAGTGTATATACATTTTTACACACACACACACACACAGAAAGACTATCTGAAGGAAGCAGGAAGGCAAGAACAAGAGAATAATGGACTACCTATGTCAGGAAAGACAAACTAGTTGGAGAAAAAGTTGACCAATAGGAGTGGGAGAGGAGCAGCATGGGTGAGCTTGGGGGTGCAAATATAAACAAAAAAGAATAACATGTACGCATGAATAAAAATGTCATGATGAAACCATTTTGTGCATGCAAACAAGAAAAATAAAAATTATGGAAAAAAGATTTTAATTGGGAAAAAAAAAAGCCTAGAACTAGGTAGTGGTTGCTGGATACCTAGACAGATGTAGTGTTGCTACCAAAACTGTAGGAAATGCCACTTAACTGTTCATCTTAAGTTGAACACTCATGGATAATAGAAGTTGATGTCCACAGAGAAACACTTCTGTTTTAAAGGCACACTAGAACAAATGGATTCAACTTGTCCTTAAGATGAGCACTTTCTAAAGAACTCCAGTTATAAGCTGTTTAAGAAAAAGGATAAGGTACCATATCTTCATCCTTTATCTACCCGCACAGTATACAATCAATGATAACTCAAAGTATTTAGAAGTACATGCCATTAAGCAAAGTCGATTAAAGAGAGTTTGTTCCAATCCATTTTCATGAGCTGCATCAGAACCCTGAATTGTAGGAGGCAATTGTTTGGGGTCTCCAACAAGAATTAGCTTTTCACACTCAAACCTAAAAAGAAACAATTTAGAAAGTTACTCTAAGCAAAGAGAAAAGGTATACAGATATTATTTATTGCACTTTCCAAAATGTATTCTTAGAATTCAAAAGCAGGAAAAGTCCTAAGAGCTAGCATGGCTCAATGGTGCCAGTTAGCATGCTCAAGGGTTCGGAATGGTACTTCAAAGACTTTTCGGGTTAGAACGATGGCTCAGTGGTTAAAATACTGGGAGACCTAAACTCCAATCCCTAGCATCCATGTAAAAGCTGGGCACTGTGGCAATAGCACAAATTCAGAGTGCCAGTGCTGGGAGGTTAGAGACAAAGGACTACAGGCACTCACTGGCCAGACTAGCTGAAATGGTGAGCTTTGGACTCAGTGAGAGACCCTATCTCAAAAATAGGGGAGGATGGCTGGAAAGACAGCTCAGTGTTAAGAGAACTTGTTCTTGCAGAGGACCCAGATTCAATTGCCAGCACCTACACAGCAGCTCACAACAGTCTATAACTTCATTCCAATTTCAAGTTGCACGTAATACACACACACACAAGCAAAATACTCATACTCATTAAGTAAATAAATAAAGAAAATAAAGAAAAGAATGTGAAGAGCCAAGAAGGCATACACTGGATGTCTCCTTCTGGCCAGCACATCCACACACATCTATGAGCACACATGGGTGAGCACCGACACATACACTTTTTCACTTAAGTTACATATTTCCACATAAAATCTACTAGGCATCCCTTGCCTCCGCATAGTCAAGTGTTTCACAGAACACGTTTGAGAAACAGTGATCTTAAGACCACAGACACTTTGAAGCTGCCTTAGAATTCCTTGGCTTAAACTCTGTTTTAGGGCTCAGGACGAACTGATAAGTCAGTTTGGGGAAGTCCTAGTCTCACAGACAAACCTATCTCCAAATCTCAACTCTTGTCTATCTGGTCTATGGCTCTCCCTGCTTCACTTATGAGGAACCTGGAGGTAGTAACTCAGTGCGTGGCTGTTACAGGGATCAAATGAAGGCCACGATGTATTGAGAATATAGCAGAGCTACATTTGCCCCTGCACTCCACCCAGTGCCTCAGTGACCCTCCAAAGGTGGCTTCTGGGAAGTAACCAAGTCACCCGGACTACCGAGTACCATTTCAGTACAGGCTAAAATGTTATGCCTAGGAGCCTCCCAAGTCCCAGGCAAACCCGGACAACTGGAGCCCTATAGACCCATCACCTGGGGACCTGGCAAGATCTGCTGATCTCACTGTGGTGGACTCTTCCTTAAGGCATGCTTTCTTTTATTTTTCATGGCGCTAGGGATTAAAACCAGGTATCACACATTCAACACATTTTATCCATTGAAATATATTCCAGTCCCCAAAGACTCTTGAGAAGCATAATTTTCCAATGGCTACAACAGCTTAGATTTCACTCTTTAAGCTTCTAGGGACAAGCCTTCATTTTAAATGATTTTTTAAATATATTCTCTCATAAACTAAAAAATAATTCAGAAGCTAAACTATCAAATCCTACAAAAGAAAGCAAACTGGAGAACAGTGGAATTAGAAACCATTAATCTAGTTGACAAATCTGGGAAATCCTATAATGGTCCTAGTACTAGTGCTCTTATGGATTTAAGACTGTGTGAGGTGAGTCAAACAACTAAACCATAAGCTCACAAAATTATGACATATTTACTTTAAAAAGTTTCTCCCTGTTACTTACAAAACTAATGTTTAGTAACCAAATTGCTAAGAATTCTTAAATGTCTTTGGACTCAGGAAATGTCTGAAATGATTGACTTGTGTGTACTCTTGTGGAGAGTCTTTCAGATTACCTTGCAATAGGAAGGAGTGAGGCTGGTTCTGTCATTTGGCTGCTCTCATCCAATACAACCACAGGGAATTTAAGGCCATTCATACATGGGAATGGGCAGGCTGCACAGGTAATGCCAACGACTCGAACCTTCATGTTAAAAAAAAAAAAAAAAGTGTTTTTGAAACAAAGTCTCACTATGTAGCCCATGCTTAGCTTCAAAAGCCTCCTGCCTGAACTTCCCTCTTGAATTTAGATTATAACTGTGAGTTACCTTGCCCAGCCGAACAAAAATATCACTAACCAATGACTACTAAAAGATAATCAATAATTTAACGGAGAACTTGAAGGCTAAGTCAGAAGACAAACCATCCTTTGCATAAGCTCTGAACACTGTGACTCTGAGATTACTTAAGAAGGTACCTGTCTAAAGCAGGGCACGCCTGTAAATCCTAGCTTGGGGAGGCAGATTTTTTGAGCCCAGTCTGTTCTACAGAGTCCAAGACAGCTAAGGCTACAGTGAGAAACCCTATCTCAAAAACAAATAAATAATCAAATAAATAAATAAATAATACTAGCAGCTATTCTTATATATTATTGTTATAGCAGGTTGAGTAGTTTACATAAATAGCAATTTGCAGTTAAGAACAAACAAATTCAACACTTAGTTGAGGAGAGGCAACATAGAGTAAATTTTACAACTCTGATCCTAGAAAGTTAGTCTCCAGGACTCTAAGGACTTCTGGCTGAGTGTTTTTAGCCCATGCTGTTAAGCCCAGCACTAGGGAGGCAAAGGCAGATAATTTCTGTGAGTTCCAGATCAGCCAGGGCTACACAGTATAAGACTCTACAAGAAAAAGAGAACAGTATTATGGAAACTCCTAAGACACAAATCTATCACATACTGGTCATTATTTCCTTTTTTTTTTTTTTCCATACAGTTTTTATGACATATCCATGCCACTTGCTGTGTGACTTTGAAGGGCTTACCACCAGAGAGGCAGGTGGGAGTTAGAGCACACAGAATATTAGGGGGCAGGGCATGGACAGAAGCTGTAAAGGTCTAGCCTGCCCCCCGTGCTGCTGTACACAAGGTCTTCTGAACATGCTGTGGGGAAGTGCTCAGAGAGGGAGACCGTTTCACAGTCTAAGCTCAGCCGTAGCAGCTGACACAGTCATAAGCTGTGCTGAGATTCAGTGCTTCAGTGGCCTTATTTCAGCAGCAGTTGACCAGGCAGGCTGGCTTCCCAACATTTCTGCAGAAAAATAATCAGTGTCTATGTGGCCCAAGAAAGCTGATGACTTTCTTCTTTCTTCACCACTTTTCTCTCCCTCAGGCACCACTTTCATAAGATGAAGCTACTGAATCTTTCTGCACTACCTGTCGATGCCCTTCAGAAAGGGGATAACACTTCCTGTTATAGCCTGGGGACCTGGTATGCAATGCCTGCAAGTGAGTGGAGTGCCACATGGATTCTTGGGCACAGACGGACCCTGAGAGCCTGGCTTTCTAGGAGAGCACCAAAGACAAATTTTCACTTTGACATTTTACCCAGAGTTTAAAAAAAAAAAAAAAAATTCTTTTTCCTAGAATACAACAAACTTTACTGGGTTTGCCAAGAGTCTATTCAAAGCTTCCCACTTTCTTCTTTAAGCCTCTATGTAAAGGAGAAGAATGCAGCAGGCATGGCAAATAAGATGTGTTCATCACTGTTGGAACACAGTCAAAAGAATGATGAATGGTGAACAATGCCTTAGATAACAATGGTGAGAAAGGCTCCAGGAAAGGAGGCAGAGGGCCTTTTACTTCAGTGCATTTTATTCCCTGGATTGTTCTTGGATGTGATTTCAGACCTCCTGTGACAAACATTTACATTCAATTTACAAGGCATATTTATTCTTGTTGGGTATCAGAACACAGCTATAGAGCCCAATCTGGTCATGTGCCTTGAATCTTGGATATGGCCTTTTGCCTTGCTTTCGTGCTTTCCCAGGATAAGATATGCTAGGCAATTGTGTTTAAATTTGTCCTGAGAAAGTTCTGGGAAAGCAGTGTTCTGTCAATATTTAGTATGTGCTTGCTGGTGTTTATTTACATGTTTTTCTGAACTCAACCTTCCTTAGATCATTGCTCTCTTTGTTAGATTTGTACACAAAGTACACTGAAAGTGAAGTAAGGCTGTCTAGCATTAGACTCACGTCTACCCCATTCTTTCAGGTTCTTAGATCCCAGGTCCAGCAGACAAGATCTGCACAGATCGATGACAGTTGACAACCACAACTTGAAGAGTGTTTGCAGCCCTGGGTACAGTTGGTAAGGGTACAGAAAGGATATAACTTGTTGAATCTAAGATTATCCATCATCACAAATAAAGAGAATCTGAACAGAGCACAGAAATCGGCAAAGAAACTGATGAAATTTCACCTCACCTGTTTTAGAAGGATTCTGTTGGTCCCCAGTTTATGCTGCTCAATACTTTTTCTCACATAAACCCTTTCTATAGGAGTCAGTTCTTCCCTCATCAATGCATGGAGTTCTTTCAATTGTTCACTTTCATTTTCTGAGCCAGCATGCAAGCTGAAATTGAATAGTATGAAAGAATATTCCTTGTTTATTTCACATGCCACAAGGCTGTCCTAGAAATAGCTATGGAGATGAGGCTGACCTTGACTCACAGAGTACCTGCTTCTACCTCCCAAGAGCCAGTATTAAAAGCCTGCACCAACACTCCTGTTTTGTATTACTCTTTTTAAATTAGAATTTCTACGTAGGTTTCCCAATTTAACTAAAAACTAAAGGCATCTCTCAAAGGCCAAATTTAAGGTAAAAAAATATAAAATTTTCATACTTCTCAGAATATTCTGTAACTTTTAGGATTTAGCAGTCTTACCTGTAGGGTAAAATTGGCTTGGCAATCTTCCTAACGCTCCCAACTCTGACGAACTTTTCAAATCCAAGACTAAGAAGCCTTTACAGAAAACAAGACAGAAGAGATTCTCCTTACTTACAAACAAAATATAAAACACAGTTTTGCGAATTATTAGTATTTGTGTGGGCTTTTCCTTAAAGACAAAATGCCAGTATGTAACCCAAACTATCCTTAAACTCAATGCTCTTGCCTCAGCCTACTGAGTGCTGGATATACAGACATGCACAAACATGTTCAAGTATATTATTATTAAAATTATTTTGCATAGGACTGTATTTTACAGTTATGTGACTCCATATGAAATATATAAACTCAAAGTAAAAGCAATATAGTTGAACTTTTTCTCATAGAACATATTGAAGAGATTTTTGCCAACTTTCTTTCTTGGTGCAGGAGCTCAAACCCAAGGGTTTATGTATGCTGCACAATCATTCCACTACTGAACTACCTGCTCCTCAGCACTTCTGTAGAAAATTTCAAACATATTTATTTTATATTAAGGTGTTATATTAGTTATTTTTCTATTGCTGTGATAAAACATTGTGATCAAGGCAACTTATAGAAAAAAAAAGTTTATTGGAGGCTTACATGCCAGGGGAATACTAGTCAGTGATGGTGGAGTGAAGATAGCGGGCAGTTGGGGCAGCAGTTGGAAGTAGAGGGAGCTTCTGAAACCTCAGAGCCCACTTCCATTGACATATATCCTCCAGCAAAGCCACACCTCCTGGTTCTCCTCAAACAGCCACTAACTGGGGACTAAGTATTTGAATCTCTACAGAGGTCAGTAAGTGTTTAGAAAATGCCAGTTACTGGGGCTGATCAGAAATAAAATGCCGTAAAGACACACTAATAGGGAAAGCAATAGATACTATATATTTTGACTCAAGAGCCTCTTCAGTATGTTACTGTAAATATGCACACTATCCCATCTTACAGAGCTCAAGGTGAGATAACTTAGCCAAGTCTACATTATTAACAAGCGGAGAGGGCTGGAGAGATGGGACAGAGGTTAAGAACATTTGCTGCTTTTCCAGAGGACCTTAGTTCAATACCCAGCACCCACAAAGTGGCTCACAACCATCCTTAACTCCAGTTCCAAGTGATCCAGTGTCTTCTGGTCTCTGCAGACATTGTACAACCATGATGCACAGACATAAACACAGGCAAAACACCCATACAAACAAAAATTTAAAGAAAACGAACAGACAAGTGGAGTCAGACAAGCCTAGACTCATTCTAGTGGCTAAGATGCCTCTCTACAGATAACTCCTAATCCCCAAATTAGGGCTTTGTGCAGAGGGAGACATTATTCTCTTTCTTCATGTATCTTACAGCTCTAATTCTAGGCTAGCTCAGAGGTGCAGGTCAGTGAACAGCAAGTCCTCCAAAACATGTGCACCACCTTGGAAACAGGAATTTAAAAAGAACTAAAGTAAGCTATAGCCCTTGCTTTAAGCAGTTTCCCAAATGATGAAAAGAAAAGTGTTAATACATTAATAGATTGTGATCTTGAATTTTTCACCTGATAAGACCTAGAATCAGGCTGGAGGTAAGCCTTTTGTTATGAGCATAAAAGAGTTTCTAGACTGAAAAGGTCAGTCCTGACCTGACAGTGGGGCACCACTCCATGGGTCCCTACATTAAGTGACCAGCAGACAGCAAAGCACAGACACCCTACTTCCTGTGTGGGTGGGCCAGCTGCCTCATGCTTCTGCCGCCATTGCTTCCCCACCATGACGCCCTGTACCTTAGAACTGTGAACTGTGACAAACCTTTTCCTCCTTAAGTTATTTCATCAGGATAAGATGAAAAGTAACTAATAAACCTCAGTTTACAGAAAAATTACCTACTTCTCAACGTGAAATAGCTAGTCTTCATTTTTTCAATACAAGTTTGTATTAAATCTACAACAATGTAGGAGCAGCCTTCTCAGAGAACAATACTACAGGGACTGTATAATATTTATCCATGCTCTCATTGTTTTCTAAAAGAAATTGTCTTATTCTGAGCATCACAATAGACATTGTCTAGTCCAGTGCACAAGAATGTTATTTCACTTGAAGAAGCAGAGGAACCCAGCCTATTTCCAGTTGAGGCATCATCTTCCTTTTCAAAGATTCAGCATTAAACATCCTTCTGAAATGGCTGAGTGTAGCTCAGTGATAGAACACTCACTTTGCATGCACAAATCCCCAGGTTCAGTCCCAAGCATGGCACTGCACACAAGCACGTGCGTGCACACACACGCGCACACACACACTCATGAGAAAGAAAGAGAGAGAAAGAGAGAGAGAGAAAGAAACAGAGAGGGAAGGAGAGTGAACAGAGTTCCCATGTGTTTTTAGTATTCAATACTTACCTTCCTTTTCTAATTCTAACCTTTCAAAATGTGTTTTCTAACAGTCTCATGTAAATTGACATCTCAGGCTAAGCAATCTAAGTTAGTTCTTTCCACTAAGTCCCAGGTAATTCCTCAGATTCACATTTATCTTGGATTAAAAAATAAATAAATAAATAAATAAAAGCTGTTCTTAGTCACCCTTAGAATTTTTCATATAAACAATAGCAAAACTTTCTGAAAGGGCTATTTTACAAAATATAACAAGAAGCTTGGATGTTTCAAATTTTTATCCTAGCTTAGGACATTTTTCAAAGCTTGCAAATTCTTAGTGGGTAATGGAGCTTGCTACATAAGCCTGATAACCTGAGTTTGAGCCACAGAACCAACGGTGAGAGAGCTGACTCCTCAAAGTTCTCACACCTCCATACATGTGCTGTGGCAACAGGTACGCTCACAGTCCATCCATCTGTCTTTCTGTCTGTCTTTTTGTGTGTGTGTCTTTGTCTGTCTCTCTTACACATAATTTTGATAAAGTTTTTGCACTTAACCTCTGAGCCATCTCTCCAGCCCGTAAAAAGGTTCTAAAAAAACAAAGATTCAAAAATAGATATAAAGACTTAACGCCCAAGATTTCTTTCATACTATAATTTATATTCATAAAATTTTGGTACTTACTGATTAAAAATTACTTGTATAATAATATAAGCAAATCACTGAATGTTATTAGTAAAGTAACTGTGTGTTGTGCCGCACACCTTTAACCTCACACTAAGGAGGTAGAGGCAGGTGGATCTCTGAGTTTGAGGCTAGCCCGTTCTACAAAGAGAGTTCCAGGACAGCCAGGGAGGAAGACCAGAGCATGTGTTACGTGTTAGGCCAGTGCTTTATCATGGAGCTACAGCCCCAGTCCAAAATAATCTTTAAGTTAAAAGAAAAATCAGACATAGGCTGGGAATAGTCCTGACTTCCTAGCACTGAGGTGGTTCTGAGATTTGACGTCAGCCTACTGCTATCATAACAAACTCAAACCTCTGAGTCAGACTTTTACTTGTGACAAGAAATAGCCTAAGAACCATGGTACATGCCAGTTCTTTGGTCCCCAAGCAGAACATCTTAGCTGATGCCTGCACGTACAATGGGCTCATTCTCACCTGTACAGCTAAGGAGCCATGAGGTGGGAAATCCACTACTTTTCAGTAACAAGCAGCAGACAAACCTCCTTTTAGTTCCAAAGGAAGAGATTATCCCATCAGTCCAAGCTGCAACCCTGAGAAATGCCTTTCATAGGAATGTCAGGGCTCACGCCAGATTGCCTCCCCCAGCAACACACTTCCAGCCCTACATGTTCTTGGCTGAATTTGCATCTTATAGGGTTATTTCATCTTCATGACAAACTGTCAGATAAATGAACAATCACAACTTAAGAAGTTAGACTATTACTACCTCATAGCTCTTGGGGTCAGAAGCGAAGGCTGTGCGCTCTTGTCAGGCAGCAAGACTATATAAGGAGACTGGGAATCCACAGAAGATTTCCTCTCAATAATAATCTAAAACATCAGTTATTGAGGTCTACTTGTCATACTTACCCAAGAAGTACTCTGTCAACAGCTACATTAGTGGAAGAAGAAATGAGAATTTTCCATGGCCTTGCATTTCCAACTGTTTCAGCATCGCACTTTTCAAACAGTTGGACAAAGAACAGAATCACCACAGCCAGCAAATAGCTTTTACCTGCTCCAAATACACCTAAAACACCATAAAAACTTTTATGAATGTATAAGCAATACTTTATCTTATCCACCTTCATTTAATTAGTTAATACATTAAAAAAAAAGTGTCCACTATGTGCTACACAAGAGCATACACAAAACACTTTCCTCTTTAGTAAGCTACAATTAACAGGACAAATAATAGGTAAGAGATAATGATAATAGGATAACACTGTTATAAGACCAGAGAAGGAAGGCTATTTATTATTGCCTTGCTGGATGGTAAGACTTCCTTTAAAGAAAAATTAGCAAGCTGGGTCGTAGTGGTAATAGTCTATAGAGTGAATTCCAGGACAGCCAGGCCTACACAGAAAAACCCTGTCTCAAGAAACAAAAACAAAACAAAACAAAAACAGAAAAAGACCTAAAGAGAGAGAAAGATATATATAGAGAGAGAGCAAGACAGAGAGAGAGAAAGAAAGAGAGGTAAGGAGCAGGACTAAGTCTCCTAGAATCACACACCCAATAGTCTAGAAAAAGTCAACTGAGCATGCTGAAAGCACCTTCAGAAATTTCCACAGGTATACAGCAAAGAGGAAAGAAGGGAAGCTCAGAGAGAGGTAAAGAGATAAATTACAAGAGGACAAATTTGCACTTGGAAGGGAGAGGCATGTGGATCTCTTCAAGTTCAAGGCCAATCTGGTCCACATAGTGAGTTCCGGGACAGTCAAGAGAGATTGTTTCAAAAGGAAAAAAGGATAAATCATAAGCCTACTATGCCTAAAAATTTTAAATTTCTCCTGAAGCTAGCAAGCAAATACTGCAGGATTTTAAGCAGTGTACGTTTTAGAACAACTACATGGGTCAAATCTGAGATGGAGCAATGAGCATAATAAATGTAAGATGTACTGAGAGCCCCATGCGTTGTGCACTCCTCTAAGCATGCTACTTACATTTAATCATTTAAGCATCCAATCATATGAGGTATGTGCTACTTTTAATCCACACTTTACAGAAATCAAATCTAAGTCACTTACCCAAAATCATACAGCCAATAAATGATAGAGGCAGAATATGAAAGCAGAGTTCTAATTCAAGATGCTACATTCCTACACACTAGAAAACACAAAAGAGCAGAATAACCTATGTTTATTTTCTCCAACTGTCTCTTACCATGAATAATTGTGATGGGCAGAGAATGCTTTAAGGGCTCCAGTGCATCTTCGTCACCTTCTTGGGATACTATCATTTGAGCTATCTGAATTAATGCTGTAGCTTGATCCTTGTTCAAACTATGTATGTTAATCAACTCGCTAGCTAACTGCAAAGTCGCTCCTAAGTCGAGGAGTTCACATTTTGTTTTAATGTTTGCAACAGCTGGTGGGATAAATTTTCTTTTACTGACGTTTTTACTGCTAACTGTAGCTGACTGAGACCTAGTAAAAAGAACACATCAGAAACAGTTAAGAACTTTTAAAATGTGTGAGTTGACTTATTCATAATGTAGATTTTTACTTTACAACCATCAGAAAAAAAACTTTTTGCGGGTAAAAAGTAGATTGGCTTTAATCTACAGGGTGTAAGAGAACTAATATTTACAAAATACCTAGTATCTGTTGGCATGAGTTTAAATAGTTTACATATTAATTTATATACTCTTTACACTAAAAAGAATTGCCCCAAATAGAGATATATAAATATTAAAATGTTCCCACAAAATTAAGGTACTAAAAGGTAGTAGACTGGTTTAGACAATTAACATAGCTTCCTACTTCAGGCAAAATCACAACAGGCAAATGGATTTTATTATTATTCAAAACAGATAAAAATAGTTACAAGGCTTTAAAAAAATAACCTAGGGTTTCATTGTGACAAAGAAAAGGGTAATGCTGCAACATAGCTAATAACAATCCAAGTTGGGAAATAGGAGCCAGGAGTGGCTCAGTGGTGGAGCACTTGTTCAGCATGAATGGGGTTCAATATCCAGCGCAGGAAAGCATGCTTTTCTCATTTTAACATATTGAATATAAATTCACTTCTCAGTTATTTCAACTCACTCATTGACTTATTAGGCTAGGCTATCTGTTGTATCCGAGGTTGACCTGAGACTCTCTAAGTAGCTGAAGACAAAGCAGAACTCATGATTTTCCTGTGTCCTCCTCTGAAGTGCTCAGGCTAGAGGAGGAGATTACCACAGCTGGTTTATGTGGTAGTGAGGCTAAAACCTAGTGCCTCATGGACATGATAGAAGAGCTGTAGCCCAGGCCCATTTCTCATTTTTTAAAAAGAACCTTGGTGTTAGACAAATTTAAAAGTGAGATACGGGTAATTACAATAAAAACAGTATCAACATCTACACTATTAAAGCATTCTTTTGAATGTTAAGTAATATGCAGCATAAAGATAAAGATAGGGGCTGGAGAGAAGACTCGAAGGTAAGAGCATTGGCTGTTTCTCCAGGTCCTATTCCCAGAACCCATGTGGCAGCTCACAACTGGCTGTAACTACAGTTCCAGGGGATCCAATAACTCTTCTGGCTTCCTCAGGTGCCAGGCACACACAAACGCTGCACATACATACATTAAGGAAAAACACCCATACACGGTAAGAAACAGAACGGAGGAATAAATCATGCACTATACTGGTCATTTAACAAGGTACTGCCTCGATGAAGAGGAGGAATTCATTTCAATACTAGCCCAAACCACAACAAATAAACAGGTGAAAGGGAAGTAATACATATATTTTTCTTTCCTTTTATAAATTTTATTTATTTTTGGTGCTGGGGATCAAACCAGAGCCTCATATATGCTGACAACATTCTACGACTGAGCCACATCTGTTTTATGGTTAACTTCTAATACACAATAATCTCCGAATTTAAAATATAATTAAAATTCCGTTAGTGAAATACATTAAATGTTCTGTTATTGCACTTTCAGTTACCATTTGACCTGACTAATTTTTTTGTGAACAAGTTCATGCCATTTTGGAAGAGGGTACCTCAATCAAGAAAATACCTCTATCACATTGGTCCCCAGGAAAATCTGTGGGGCACTTTCATGACTAATGATTGATGTGGAAGGGACAACCCCACTGGAGATGGTGCTGTCTCTAGGCAGTGGGCTTGGGGTTGCATAAGAAAGCCAACTGAGCAAGGAAATAAGCAGTGTTCCTTCATGGTCTCTGCTCAGTTCTTGCCTCCAGGTGTCTGCACTAAGTTCCCTTTAAGATAGACTCTAAGCTGTAAAGATGAAATAAGCCTTTCCCCCCACATTGCTTCTTATTATAGTGTTTATCCCAACAATAGAAAAGAACAGAAAGCAAATTAGGACACCAAAATTTAATACTAATGGCCCAAAGATAAAAATGACTTACATTGCTAACAGGTATGGCATTAGTGGAAGAGTAGCTGGGTTAACGTAGTCCTGAATGTTTTTCAGAGTTGTCAGCTCTGTGCTGGCATTACAAACCAATAATGCATGGACTGTTACTACAGAGACAATGTAGAAACTGAATATTAGATATAAATAGAACCAACACAAACAAACTGATTAAATGTCTTTATAACTCAGATGTTGGCTTCTGAACTAGTGAGATGACAGAAAACAAAACTTTAGGACATGCAAAAGTCTTTAAATGTCCCATATCTCTTACATTGCTATGTTCTCTACTCATTTTGTGTATGGGCAATCATAAACTGGATACTGAAGTCACACGTGGAACTATGTACAGTAAATATGAAACAGCGCTAACGCAGGTGCTGCTGGAGCTCATCAACATCATGTGTGTGCTATTAAGTAGTAGTTACACAGTCTTTAAACTTTCCTGTATTTCTTCCTCAATCATTTATTAAAACATATGGAAAAAACTGGAATGCCAACATTGCTAAGAAAGCATATGCAGATGGCTCAGTAGTTAAGAGTTCTGTCTACTCTTCCAGAGGTCCTAAGTTCAATTCCCAGCAACCACATGGTTGCTTACCTCCATCTGTACCTTCTACTGCCCTCTTCTGGCATGCAGGTGTACATACAGATAGAACATTCAAAATAAATAAAATCTTAAAAAAAGAAAGAAAGCATATGCAACAAACACAAAAACGTCCACATGAAAAGTGACTGTTAATTGGGCTCTTGTTAGATTCATACTGGCTGACTCAGTTAATTTAGTTAAAAACAGAAAAGATCGGTTGAGTACAGTGGAGAACACCTTTAATTCCAACATTCAGTAGACAAAGACAAATGCATCTCTGAGTTTCAGACCAGCAAGGTTCACTAAAAAAATAAATAAAAATAAAGGAAAAAAAGAGAGCAAGCCATGAATGCCTATAATTCTAGCACTCCAGAAGTGGACGCAGTAGGATTTCTCTGAGTTCATAGTTCGCCTGGGCTCCACAGTAAGATCTTGTCTCAATCAAAAAGAAGAGGATTGGAGGGTGGTGGGAGATCAAAGGTTAAAAACATGAAATACTAGAAATCTAGGATCATTAAATGTTATGTCTTTAGTTCATGGTTAGCCAAATTCAACCATTAGAAATCAAGACTGGGGGCTGGAGAGATTGTTCAGTGGTTAAGAGCACTGGCTGTTCTATACAGAGGTCATGAGTTCAACCATGACTCACATGGTTCAACCAGCAACCACATGGTGGATCCCAACCATTATAGTGAGATCTGGTGCCTCTTCTGTCTGATGCTGTCTTCTATCATGCAGGCATGCATGCAAATAGAACACTCATATACAAAAATAAATAAATCTTCTAAAACAAAGAAAGAAATGGAGACTGAAATGTATAGAGAAACCTCCAGATTCATGGAACTAGATGGGAGCACATTTACTAAAGTTTCTTCTGCTATGGGACTTCTCAGGACCCTAAACATCCACAAAATTTGTAATTCTCTGGTTGAAACAAGTCTTCCATAGCCCAAGCTGGTTAAAGATTTCTTTACTAAAAGAAAAATAAGCTGGGTAGTCTGATATTAAGAGGGGCTGAAGAGATGGTTCAGCAGTGGCATATTTGTTTCTTTTCCAGATAGCCAGGGCTAGATTCCTAGCACCCACACAGCAGATCACAACCATCTGTAACTCCAGTTCCAGGGGTCCTGATGCCCCGTACTTAACTCTACAGATCAGGCATAAGTGTGTGGCACAGATATACATGTAGGCAAAGCATTCAGACACATGAAAAAGAAATATATCTAAGGAGAACTTCTCACAATAGTATAGGTACTCTCAAGATAAAAACCACATGCTGCTCAATCTCAAATCTCCAGGAACTTCTCAATGTAAAGATATACTGTTTACTAAATATACCTTCAAAAGACCAAGAAAATTAGAACTCATCTAGATAAAATTATATGAAAAAGGTCTCATGTCCAATGTTTACATTTTTTAAAGTCAGGTATATAGTATAAAAAATTCAATTTTAACCAAATACTAAATGAAGTTCAGCATTTCTTAAAATATATATATATATATATATATATATATATATATATATATATATATATTTTTATGTGCAAAGTATTTTTCTGCATGTGTGTATATGTATACTACATATGTGCCTACTGTCCTTGTAGGTCATAACTGCCAGTACAGATCATTGTGAGCCATTGTGTGGGTTCTGGAACTAAACCTGGGCCCTCTGCAAGAGCAACAATTGCTTTTAACCACTGATCCATCTCTCCAGCTCCTTAATATTTCATTATACTGTTAGCCCTATATAGGACTTGAACAGTAGAAATACTTAAAAATTCAACTTTTATACATGTGTTAGTTTTGTGTCAACCTGACACAAGCTAGGAAGAGGTAATATGAGAGAATATTAATACTTTCATTGGGCTAGCCAGTAGGCAAGCCTGTAGGGGCATTTCCTGGATTTATGATTGAAGTGAAAGGGCACAGCCCACTGTGGACAATAGTAACCTCTGGGCAGGTGATCCTGGGTTACACAAGATAGCAGGCTGAACAAGCAAGCCATGGAGAGCAAGCTTGTAAGTAGTGTTCCTCCATGATGTCTGCTTTAGTTCCTGTCTCCATGTTCTTGTTTTAAATACCTGCACTGGCTTCCCTTGATGATGGTCTATAGCCAGTAAGACAAAAATAGATCCTCCCACAAGTTGCTTGTGATCAGTCTTTCTCACAGCAACAGCAAAACAATATATACTTGCAGGATCATCACACTGCATGCAATATTAGAAACTGGAGATAGGTGCTTTTTAGCTTTAGTCAAACAACTCCACACACATCGTTCTTGCTTTTCCTGCCTCCTGTGTCCGTTAGTCTCTTTAAACAGAAATTAGGGTGGACATGATACTTACTGTTAGTAGGCCAATTAGAAGGGAAATAGCCTTTCAAAGGCAGCAGCTCCACTTCATTGACAGAAGATGGCCCAAAGAAGGCACTGCAGGCGATGAAAGTATCTAGTTTGAAGTCCAGGGTTTTTGAAATAACCCAAAGATCATCTGAAAGGACAAACATTTTCAAATCCCAGCTTTACTGAGGCAAACTTGACCAAAAGGAACAGGGTATTTACCATGGCGTTTGGGGTTTTGTGCATGTTATGTACCCGTTTTACCACAGCACTACAATCCCAGCCACGACGAATCTGAATGTATCTTGTGTGACGATCTCCACAGTCAAGCTAATTAACATATCTATCACCTGACATGGTTATTTCTGCATGCATGGCAAGAACCCTTAAATTTTCCAACATTATGACTGATTGTTGTTACCATGCTGGATATTAGACCACTAAAACTCACAACAGAATACCCATAAATTCATGCAGTTACTCACATATACATAAAATAAAAGTACATCTTCAAAAAATGTTTGGATTGTGTGCATGCTCATTTGTATATGTGAATCTAAGTGAGTGTGCACCACACTGTAAGTATGGAACTCAGAGGACAACATTGGATGATAGTGTTGCTTTCTTTTTTTTCCCACGGGCACCCAGAGCCGGGGCTCCCACCACCAATCACAGCCTCGGGAAAAGGCCCTGGATGTGGTCAAGAGTCTGAGGGAGGCAGGGAAAGGAACCAGATCCCTCCCAACAGGCTCCTCACAGGCCCACTGTCCCCCAACCCCCGGGGCCAGAAGGACAACCTTGCTTTCTACCATGTTTGAGACAGAAACTCTTGGCAGTGGCCATACATACTCTTCAGCGAAGTGTTATCAGTGCTTCGCTGATGGGACTCCATGCAGCAAGGCCCACAGAAAACCCTTTGACCATTAATCCTAGTTATTTTGGGACTGGTAACCATGTCAATAGAGGAACATCTACAATCACACTGAGTAAGCCTGTGGCAGCTATGGAGAACAGTGGGTCCTGCTTGCATAACTGTTCTGGGAAAAGTTATGTCTGATTAACAGTGATTTAAAAATGGGAAAGCTGTGTCTGAGCACTGGAGACTTAAAAAGACTTGGAAAGATGGTATCAGAAATTGATAGGTGCATATCATTAAAGATTGTATGGTACAATGAGCACATTTCTGTCTGCAATTTAAAAAGCATTATGACAAAGGGGTGCCATTTGCTGCATGGACTTATGCCCACCAAACGGTTAATTTGTCTCTCACCTTGCATCACTGTGTAATTGCATTTGCTGCCAGCTGGGTATGTGCTCATGTCCAGAGGACATACCTGACATTTATTTTTGGCTTGCTAAAATGGTGCGTTTAGTGAAAAATACAGTTTGAAGGTGACTGACCCAACGGGAGGAAAAGAAGGAAGAAAAACTATTGAGGCTTTCATAATACTGTTATGATTTCTTTGAATAAAAAATCCAGTAATAACACTGCTCAGGTGAATAGGCCTGTGATTGTATAAATAAAGACGGCTGGAGCTATTCTGGGGCCACTTGCTTGAAAGTCAACTGGTGATCAGTGTCTTCTCTCACCAATGTCACACATCTGTCCTCAGTTCCAAAACCCTGCTGCTAGCGCTGGTCACTGGCAATCTCTTCAGTACTTTTTCCCACTACTTCCACTAGGCTATCTGGCCCAAGCTTCTGGTGATTCTCCTGTCTCTCCCTCCAATCTCCTCACGGTAGCACTGGGATTATAGATGCCCATACTGTGTGTCTAGCTTTTATGTGAGTTTTGGGGATTCAAATTGAGGTGTTCAAACTTTCACAGTAAGTGTTTTTACCCATTGAGCCATCTCTCCAGACCTTATACAATATTTTTAATAACTGAAATATATACAAACAGAAAGTAATTTTCCTAGTATGGTACTGTCTATTGGTAGTATCATGTCAACATTAAAAAAGAGGCTTTTATAGAATTTTAGAATCCAGCTATTCAGATGATGGGCCTTCAACCTGCTCTATCAAACTATGAACATAATGTTCCTTCATTCAGAAAGTCTTGCAACAGATAAAACTACTGATGAACTCCAAGAGTCAATTAATGACACTATGGAGTAACTCCTTGCTTCTCTTTGAAAACTAGTGAGTCTGTGGATCAGAACTTACCTGTATCCTATACCTTAAATAGCATTGTTTTGATAACATCAGCTGGGAGGAAGCAGTCAGGAGATAGTGATGGACAAAGTCTGGACAAAAGGGTAAGGCATGTGCATGCATTCTAAGTAGTTGTATCAACTACCCATTTTTAGAGGTAGAAAAGGATTTAAAAGAGCAAAGAAATGGAACAACTGGACAACGGGACAAGGAGATGGCTCAAGAGGCAAAAGTGGTTACAAAACAAATGCTTGCTGGGCATGGTGACACATGCCTTTAATCCCAGCAGCATTCTGGAGGTAGAGGCAGGAGACATGGGTCTGACTTCAGCCTGTTCTATGAAGCTATTTCCAAAACACCCAGCCTCACACAGAGAAACCCTGTCACAAACAAACAAACAAACAAACAAACAAACAAACAACAAAGAGGTGAAAGCATTTGCAGTTCAGGCCTGATGACCTGAATTTGATCATCAGGGCCCACTTAAAAAGCTATGTGGGGTGAATTAAGTCTGTAATCCCAGAATTCCTATGGGGAAAGATTCCAGGAGGCAGAAGAGACAGGCGAACAGATCAAAAGCTCACATACATAGCACAACAGCAGAAGCAAGAGATCCTGCCTCAAAAAAAGGTAGAAGAGATGTTGCTGGTTATTAATATTTATTATTGATTTATCTTTTAGTTAAACAGTGGTTATTCCTAAACCAGCTGTATATCCAAATCACCACACAGAGATTAGGATTTATTTAATTAACCTAGAGCACAATGCTGGGCAATAGTTACTCCATCCTAAACCTCCAAGCCCATATAGTTTCCTCCCATTCAGAATTCCCACATTATACTTGCTTTTAGTCATATCTTAGGTACAGTTCATCTCTCCTCATGGTTCCAAGTTGTCTACTGCTGATCTCTCCTCTGCCACTCCTCCCACTCAGTTGTTTTTCCTCCCCTCTGGACCAGGATGTCCCACCCTATTCTCTCCATTGCTCAGCATTGGCTGGTTGTTTTATTGAAATTACAGAGAACAAATGGTGGCATGTTTACACAGACTTGAGATAGGTGATGCTTAGAATAAGTGTCACAATGCAATGTCTGGATTGAAACCAGATAGCGGGGGGTAGATAAACCAGCATTTGAATGAACAAGGGTAAATTGTATACATTCCACAAGAACATTATACCAACAAAGAGAACTTAAAAGTTCTTCCCTGACATTCACACAGGCACCAGGGCACTCGTTGATTTGCCTTATGCACACACAAAAATTAGTTTGTCAAATCATTTTTCTAAATGGTAGGCTAGAGAGATGGCTCAGAGATTAAGAGCACTAGCTACTCTTCCAGATGACCCTAGCTCAATCCAATGTTGACATAGCAAAACACACCTACACACATTTTTTTTAAACTTTTATAATTAAAAAGGGGAAAGGGCATAGGTGGGTGTGGTGGTGCATACCTTTTAACGCTAGCACTTCAGAGGAAGAGGCAGGTGGATCTCTGGGAGTTCAAGGTCAGCCTGGTTTAAGAGTTCTCGGCTAACCAAAACTACATAGAAAGACCCTGTCTCAAAACTAAACAAAATAAAATTTTAAAAAAGCATACAAAAAAGTAAAATAAACAAAAACACAAGTATATTGAACCCAAGTTTATCAGCCATAACAAATCTAATTAATTGAGCTTAATCTATTTATAGTAAAATTTTTACAATAGAAGAAACATAAAAACGTAGAAAGAATAAATTGAAAAAATAACTTAGCAAGTAAATATCAGCAACAATAAACCTGATATAGCTATATTAATAAGACATTTTAAGAAAAAGGCATTGTAGCTGAAGGATGTACATATAATGGAAATATTTTCATTTACCAAGAAGATAATGACTTAAAGCATGTATTTATCTAGTGAAATTGCCTCAATCTGTAAGATTCAACAAGTAACAAACCAGCAAGAAGAATCTGTGCCGTAATAAAAGAATTCAACTCATTCCCCTTGTTTGCCACAGCTAGTTAATATCTACACAAACAATACTAGGTTTGAGCTGGTGCTTAAAGAACTCTGCAACCAACAGCTAGAACAATAAATACTTCTCCTGCACTAAGCCATTAAGAAAAACTTGAAAGTCTGGATGGGGTGGTGCATGCCTGTAATGCCAGGATTCAGAAGGCTAAAGAAGGATCATTGTTGATGTGATGGTATACATGAGCTACCCCAAAAATTCAACCAGAGACTCCTTCAGCTGGTAAACACCTTCAGCAAAATGACTGGATACAAAATTAACTCAAAAAAAATCAGAAGCCCTCCTGTATATCCAAGACAAAAGGGCCAAGAAAGAAATCAAGGAAACAACACCCTTCACAATAGCCACTAATAACATAAAGTACTTTGGTGACTCTAACCAAGCAGATGAAAGACCTGTTTGAAAAAAATTTCAACTTTCTCTGAAGAAAGAAATTGAAGAAGATATCAGAAGATGGAACGATCTCCCGTGCTCATGGATCAGTAGGATTAACATTGTGAAAATGGCCATCCTGCCAAAAGCAATCTACAGATTCAATGCAATTCTGATCAAAATATCAATCCAGTTCTTTACAGACCTTGAAAGAAAAATTAGCAACTTCATATGGAGAAACAAAAACCCCAGAATTTCTAAAACGACCCTGTACAACAAAAGATCATCTGGAGGTATCTCCATCTCTGATCTCAAGCTGTATTACAGAGCAATAGTAATAAAAACTGCATGGTATTGGCATAGAAGCAGAAAGGTGGATCAATGGAACCAAACAGAAGACCCAGAAATAAACCCACACACCTATGAATACTTGATTTTTGACAAAAAAGCCAAAACCATTCAATGGAAAAAAGACAGCATCTTCAACAAATGGTGCTGGTCCAACTGCATGTCTACATGCAGAAAAATGTAAATAGATCCATACTTATCACCCTGCACAAAATTAAAGTCCAAGTGGATCAAAGACCTCAACATAAAACAAGATACACTAAATCGGTTAGAAGAAAAAGTGGGGAAGAGCCTAGAACTCATCAGCACAGGAGACAAGCTTCCTGAACAGAACACCAACAGCACAGGCTCTAAGAGAAACAATCAATAAATGGGACCTCATGAAACTGAAAAGCTTCTGTAAAGCAAAGGACACTGTCGTCAGAACAAAACAACAGCCTATAGACTGGGAAAGGATCTTCACCAACCCTATATCTGACAGAAGGTTGATATCTAGAATATATAAAGAACTAAAGAAGTTAAAAGGCAATAAATCAAGTAACCCAATTAAAAAATGGGGTATGGAGCTAAACAGAGAATTCTCTGTAGAAGAATACAGAATAGTAGAGAAACACTTAAAGAGATGCTCAATGTCCTTAGCCATCAGAGAGATGTAAATCACAACGACCCTGAGATTTCACCTTACACCCATCAGAATGGCTAAGATCAAAAACTTAAGTGACAACACATGCTGGAGAGGCTGTGGAGAAAGGGGAACCCTCCTCCATTGCTGGTTGGAATGTAAACTTGTACAACCACTTTGGAAATCAATCTGGTGCTTTCTTAGACAATTAGGAATAGTGCTTCCTCAAGATCCAGCTATACACTCCTAGGCATATATCCAAAAGATGCTCAAGTACACAACAAGGACATTTGCTCAGCCATGTTTGTAGCAGCTTTATTCGTAATAGCCAGAAACTGGAAACAACCCAGATGTCCATCAACGGAGAAATGGCTACAGAAATTGTGGTACTTTTACACAATGGAATACTACTCAGCAAGTAAAAACAAGGAAATCATGAAATCTGCAGGCAAATAGTGGGATCTAGAAAAGATCATCCTGAGTGAGGTATCCCAGGAGCAGAAAGACACATACGGCATATACTCACTTCTAAGTTGGTACTAGACCTATAAGATAGGATAAACATACTAAAATCTGTACACCTAAAGAAGATAAACAAGAAAGAACTCCCACGGTAAGATGATCAATCCTCACTTAGAAAGAAAAATGGGATGGACATTGGAAGTAGGAGAAAACAAGTAACAGGACAGAAGACTACCGCAGAGGGCCTCTGAAAGACTATACCTAGCAATGTACCAAAGCAGAGGCTGAGACTCATAACCAAACCTTCGGCAGAGTGCAGGGAATCATATGAAGTAAGGGGGAGTTAGTATGACAGGAGCTCCACAAGGACCAAATATATTAGGGCACAGGGGTTTTTTATGAGACTGTTTCTCCAACCAAGGACCATGTATGGATATAACCTAGAACCCCTGCCCATGGTAGCTCAGTATCCAAGTGGGTACCCTTGTAAGGGGAACAGGGACTATTTTTGACATAAACTCAATGGCTGACTCTTTGACCTCCCCTCCTACCTCGAGGGAGGAGCAGCCTTGCTAGGCCACAGAGGAGGACATTGCAGCCAATCCTGAAGAGACCTGATAAGCTACAGTCAGATGCAAGGGGAGGAGGACCTCCCCTATCAGTGGTCTTGGAAAAGGGTAGGAAGAGGATGAGGAAGGGAGGGTGGGATTGGGAGGGAATGAGGGAGGGGGATACAGCTGGGATACAAATAGAAAAAAAATAAATATTATTAAAAAAATAAAAAAAGAAGGATCATTGTGGGTTTGATGCATAGCAAGACCCTGTGTCCAAACAAAAACAAAGACCCTTACTAATTTTAAAGAGTGATAGTATAAACTAAACTATAATCTTTGCCCATAACACAATGAAGCCACCAAGTAGCAGTAAAAGCATAAAATATAAGTTCCTAGATGTTTGAATACTAAAGCATGTAATAATAACCTACAAGTTGAATATGAAATCTAATGGAAATTTTAAAACAAATATAAGGAAAAATAGTTATTCAATGAAAGTCGATTGGTACTTGAAGAATGCTGAGACCCTAATAAGGACAGTAGAGAAAAAGAAAAACTTCACAATCAACAAGCCAAGTATTTGCCTTAAGATGTATGAAAAAGAATGGTGTAATAGATCCTGACAAAATCAAAGTGATTTGAAAAAAAGATGTCAATAACAACAAAAGTAAACAGAACCAAACATAAAACAAAAACACAACCTTCAATCCTAAAGCAATAATAACATCAACAGTTATAGTCCTAAGAGGTGTCAAGAGCACGTGAAGGCCCACAACAGTGTCATGCTACAGGAGAAAAGCAGCCTTCCCATTTGATCTAGACTTTCCAACTACCAGAAGTACAAGTCAGTTTCTATTGTTTATAAAAATGAGTAAATAAAGCAAAATGTCAAGGACAATTTCCTGATATTTAGATCAATGAAGACAAGAGATGATTCACTAACAAAATAGACAAACCTGAGGCAAAACTGATCAACAAAACAAAAAATACAAACCATATAAGTTTTAGAAAATGTAAGGTGAACAAATTATCTCTCTAGAGATCTGCAAAACTTCACTATAGGATATTACAAGCTGGACATAGAGATGCATGACTGTAATCCCAGCAATCAGGGGGGTGAGGAAAGAGGTAGCGAGATCCTGTGTCCATAAGAAAGGAAGTTTTAGATAAGGTTTATCGAGCTTAAGGAAAATAAAACAATATTTAACTATGTCATTCTATAAGGCTGGCTAGGTGGCTGAGCAGAAAACAGCACCTGCCACCCTGGAACCCACATGGTGAAAGGAGAAAGCTGACTTACTCAGCTATCCTCATTTCCAATCGCATACTAGGATGGGTGTGAACTTGATCTACAGATTCAACCTCCGTCAAAAGCTCAATAGGTTTTTCTTCATAAAACTTCATCAGATGTTTTTAAATGCATATAGAATTGAAAAGTGCCAAGAATAGTTTCTGAAAACAAGGGAAACTTTGTATAATTTTATTATCAGGATTTAAGAAGCTACAGTAATTAAGCAGTGTGGAGCTGGGACAAAGATAATTTAAATTGACTCATAGAAGCCCAGCATGTGGATCCTGCCATTAATCCCAGCACTCACGTGGCTGAGGGTAGCAGAAACTGTGAATTTAAGTCACACAAACACTGTCTCAAAAAAAAATTTTTTTTTAAAGGAAAGAGATATGGCTTGGTGGTAGAGACCCTTCCTAACATACACAAGACCTTGGGTTAGATTTCTCCCACTTGAGTATAAAAGAAATCTAGGAAAGTCTTTAAATAAAAAGATTTGCTATACAAGCAGATATTTGTGATATAAATGACCTGAAAGGAATAACATGAACACATAAATCCTTTTATAAAAAGGATTGCTAAAAACCCAATAGAAAAGCGGGTGAGAAACACCTGAGGCTAATAAACACGCAAGAGCACTCTGAAATTGTTAGTGAACAGAGACATGTCAACTACAGCATCACTGCACCCACTTTAGGTTGACCCACAAGTTCTCTTAGGACTAAACACTGATAAAATCACCATGGAAAGCAGTGTGAAAACTCTAAGATGAATGTAACATTCTCATGACCTATATTGCAACATTTCCATTTCAGGGATTACGTCCAAAAGAAACTCCTGCATACCTACAAGAAAATAGAAGAATCCTTACAGCATTCCACACTCTGTGAGGACTAGGGATAAAGAAAGCTAGGTCATGAAAACAAGGATAATGATTAATCTACGTTAGCATACCTAAAGCCTTTGAAAATTACTTTTCAAAGGATTTCATTTCAAACTATGGAAGTTTGGAATCCAGTGTTGGACAGACAATAGAAGAAGTAATGACAAACTAATCACATTTTTCAATCTATTTTCAACACTAGGTCAAAACAGAGTTAAATCACTGTACTATATATATGACGCCAAGAGTTTAGAGTAAGTTTTTAATAAAGTGGCTCCTGGAATAATTTTTTTAACTCTAAAATTTTAAGTGTGCTTTCTAGAAATGGTCTATTATTATATAACTTTAACTGTTTAGCGCTATTAGAATTCTCTTTACTATAAAGGATTTGCAGAGCTGCATCTTGACCGAGATCCTCAGCTGTGTCAAGCTCCGTCATGAACACACTCAGATCCACCTACCTTTACTATAAACTGAAGAGCTCTCTTTCCGACTCAGCTTAAGGTAAATCTTACTTTTTGTTTCACTGTAAAATTCAGGATTTATAGTTGCAAACTTCTTTAGTTTACCGTACTGTTTTCTCTGAAAATCAAATCCTTTCCTGAAAAAAGAAAACAAAAACAAAAATTAAAAGGGAATTTGAGGAGCTAAGAGAGTGCTTAGGTTAGGAATACTTCTTGCTCTTCCAGAGGACTTGAGTTGGGTTCCCATACCCATACCTGGCAGCTCACAAAGACTTATAACTCCAATTCCAATGGATTCAATAACTCTTCTGCCTCTACACGTACCCACAAACATGTGCACACACATACGTACACACAGGCATATACCATATGCATAAATACATTTTGCTTAAGTCTTAAAAAAATAAATTTGAATATTAAGGAAGAATTATTTTAATTTTTAACACAGAGGCAGACGGTGGTAATGCATACCTTTAATCCCAGCACTTGGAAGGCAGAGGCAGGTGGATCTCTGTGAGTTAGAAGCCAACCTGGTCTATAGATCGAGTTCCGGGACAGCCAGAACTATACAAAGAAACCCTGTCTCAGAAATAAAAATAATAATAATAACAAAGCATGTAAAGGAAAGAGCCATGGTCATGCATGTTTATTTACTTTCAGAGATGTTGTAAACTATAAATTTTTCTATGAAAGAGAATACTTCACAGATCTGTCATCAGCTTTTTTTGGGGGGAGGGGGGATTTAAGACAGGATCTCTCTGTGTAGCCTTGTCTGTCCTGAAACTTGCTGTGTAGACCAGGCTGTCCTCACACTCACAGAGATCCACCTGTCTCCTCCTATCAAGTGCTGGGATTAAAGGTGTGTGCCACCACTACATGGCTATGTCATCAGCTTTAATAATAATCAAAACAGAAAAAAACCTTAGAAGCCAGATAACGTTTACATAGCTATAAATTAGAGTAATAAATAATCTTAATTATAATCATTGTATACATTATTGTTATGAGGAAATAACATACATAAAGTCCTTAGAAAAGACCCTGGCATCTACAAACTTTCAGTAAGTTATTAAATTTCCATGCAAACTGTCATTATTTTTACTTGTATGGTGAGCCCACTTTCATAAAGTTTTGCTTCTAACACTTAACACTCTATCATTCTATCAGCTCTTAACTCAGGCTTGGGAGTGACCTATTCCTGTGTTGCAAAACAGTTATTATGGTTTTATAGATTTATGAATAGCCATAAATAGAAAAAAAAGAGGAAGGGAGAGAGAAAAAGAGGGAGCAGGGAAAGAATGAGAGGGAGGAAAAAAAGAGAGAAAAGAAAACAAGACAAACTACCTTTTGCCAGTCCATTGTTTGTATCACTTGAAGTTTAGAGAGGACTAAAGTCACTTTAAAGCCTTACTTTCATTAAAAATTACAAGACTAGAAGTTTTCTCCTTGATGCTTTCCCCATCTCAATTTCTCTTAGAACCACTGATGGGTTTAGAATGTAGCTTAGTACAGTGACTGCATAGCACGTGCAAGACTCCAGGATCAACACCAGAGTACTTGCTGATAATTAAGTGAGGGTTGTATTTTCTGATGTAATTACAGGATGTGTTATGATACCATAGAGCATACCTCAACAAAAGCTGGCATTCCTCATAGACTGGTACCTTTTGACTTCTTAAATACGAGCCAATACTCTTAACATCATTAAAAACCATGTTGGGCTGAGATTCATCCTGTGGTAACTGTCCTAGAGTCACTTCCTCAAACCATTTGAAAAATTTACATTGGTTACCTTTTGGCCTATCACATGTATAAAACAGACGACCCTAAAGGGGAAGAAGATAGAAAGAATTTAAGGGTTCAGCTCAATGGTACAGTTGTTTAATAGCATGCCCATTAAAATTTAGTGAAAAAAAAAAACTATTTCTATTTGTGTACCGTTTTCTAACCAATCCTTGTGCATTTTATAAAAGCTGCCCGTTATTAATATATTCCAAGAAATAAACCACTTTCTTATTAAGTTAAACAATATATTATACTTATAAAGTAATACTTTCCATTTATTTTCTTTTTATCAAAAGACATTCATACATACACATTAAATAAAAATAAATCATTTTTTAAAGATTTTTATTTATTATGTATATAGTGTTTTGCCTGCATGTATACCTGCATGCCAGAAGAGGGCACAAGATCTCATTACAAATGATTGTGAGCTACCAAGTAGTTGCTGGGAATTGAACTCAAGACCTCTGGAGGGGCAGGCAGTGCTCTTAACCTCTGAGCCATCTCTCCAGCCCAGTAAATCTTATTTTAAAATGTATTTAAGGAGCTGGAGAGATGGCTAAGTGGTTAAGAGCACTGGCTATTCTTCCAGAGGACCTAAGTTCAATTCCCAACATCCACATGACAGCTCACAACTGTCTGTAACCCCAGTTCCAGGGATCTAACACCTTCACAGATATACATGCAGGGTTTTTTGTTTGTTTGTTTTTTTACTTAAAAAAACTACTAGCAATATCTATGCATTTCTTTCTACATATGCACACTTATAAGCATGCACACAGAGAGACACACAACAGTTTTTCTTAAAGCAAAGTTATGTATTTTATACTCTGTAAAAAAAACCTGTAAAAACAGCATAGCACAAACATGCAAAGATGTCATTAAGTAATCTTGAGAACAACATAAAGATTTTTTAATTTAAACATTTTATTTGAAGATTTATTCATTTTTACATATATGAGTGCATACCTGCATGCCAGGAGACGGTATCAGATCCCAGTGGTGAGCCACCATGTGGATGCTGGGAACTGAACTCAGGATCTCTGGAAGAGCGGACTGTGCTCTTAACCACTGAGCCATCTCTCCAGCTCTCATCAAGATTGTTAATGGCTCCATATTTCAATCTATGGCCATGCTATTATTTATGAATGTTTTTGACACTTTAAGTTCAAATTTATATATTCAACTAATGATGCACACAGTAGTGAAATGTTTTATTACTGTTACAGGTGAAAGCAGCTGTAAACGAGTGAAAGCTGTCTACATGCTCTTTGTGGCGCAGCAATGCACACTAAGTCAGCATGGTTTTCTACCCACTTGGCCTTGTCTAGTGCTGGCACACAGTTTCCAACCTTCATTTCTTTCAGTCTCATCTCAGCATTTTCTAAACCTTAGGGAAAATATTCTCTTTCTCAGTGCTGACACTGTAACTTAGGCACATCCTTTCTACCTTGTATGTGTACTTTTCTTCCCTGTATGTTTCCATCCACTATCATGCAGTCAATTCCTGCAAGTTTTGAGGCTAATTCATATTTTTGTATCCTGGAACACAGACCATTCACTTCATTAAAAAGTACTGTGATGTTACTAATATCACAAAGAAAACTCACGCCTCAGTTTCCATAGTACCTCAATTATGTGTGTGGGGAGGAGGCGGAAGCAGTACCTTATTTGGGCCTTCTTTTTTAACCATGACAAGTTTGGCAGGTTGATTATGATGGCAGGATGGCAAATTATTTTTTCCACTGTTCAGACTCTCTCCTTTTGATGATGTATAAAAGGAAATGTCAACTTTGGAAAGCGCTTTATACAGCCTTTGTGCCAACTCAAACAGCAATATATTCAGATGCTCTACAAAAAAGAGAGAGAGCTGAAAATTAAATACAAAATTGTTTTATATTTATATCAACTGTACTGTTTACAACGGTCACCTGTAAGACAATACAATAACATCCATTAATTTAAAATTTTATTTTTGTTTTATGTATATGAGTGCCCAAGCACACCAAGTGTGTGCAGTGCCACTGAGGTCAAAAGAAGCATTCGCTGGATCCCCTGGAGCTGGAGTTACAGATGGTTATGAACTTCCTTGTGGGCATCAGTGATTGAATCTGGCCCTCTACAAGAGTGGTAAGCACTCCTAACTACTGAGCCAGCTCTCCAACTTCCAAACATCCCCTTTGTACTTTACTATTGTCTCAATTTTGCAAAATTGGAACAAAAACAACTCAGCTTCACAGCCATTGAAATAATGCATCCAAGCATGTAGCCCTTGTTTATCAGACTCTTGTTATACTCCCTCTGAAGTCATCACACTTTTTATTATTTTTGCATATTACCTATATTATTATAGTTAATATATAATCTATGTGTTAATAGATTTAACTATAACATTTCTTTTTTAAGAATTTTTAATTATGTTCATATGTGTGTCCACGTGTGGGTTTGTGCACATGACTGCACTCAAGAAGGCCAGAAGAGAATGTCAGCTCCCCTGGAGTCAGATTTACTGATAGGTATAAACCACTTGATTGTGGGTGTGTGGAATGAAACTTGGATCCTCTACAAGAGCATGAAGCCCACTTAATAGCTCAGCCATCTCTCTAGTCCCTCACTGTAACATTTCAATACATATAAATATTGTGCTTTTAGCAGCCACATCATTGATTTATTTACCTCATTTTTTATTTTAGTTTTTAGGTTTACTATGTCTCACTCTTGATCTCCTTCAGCCTCCTATGCACTGGGAAAACAGGCAGGCACCACACCTTGTAACAATTACAAAAGGCAAGTTTTGTCTATACACTTCAAAACATTCAGACTTGGGAGCTGGAGGGATGGCTCAGTAGTTAAGAGCATTGGCTACTCTTTAAGAGATCTGAGTTCAATTCCCAGCAACTACCTATAATGTGATCAGGGTCTGATGCCCTCTTCAGACATGCAGGTGTACATGCAGATAGAGCACTCATACATAAAATAAATAAAACTTAAAAACAAAACAAAACATTCAAACCTATTCATGCATCATACTTAACAGTTTCCATTTAAATGTAATGGGGTCATTTGTTTCTATTTTAATAAATAAAATTCATCTTAAAAATATGCAATTTCCTACTTTTGATCTGAAATTAGAATAAAGTTACTGATAATTACTAGAGTAAACATGCAAAATAAATCTCCAGAGACAACACTGTGAAAATCCTTAATGTATTATATCGTTCTGTCATTCAAATAATCACACTAAGTCATCATCAGAATAAAATATAACAGCCATACCTATGATGGAAGCTGTAAAGATCTGCTTATAGTGAGTAGGAGACTGAAAAACAGCTGGTATGTGAACTTGCCTTTGAGGAAGATAAGCTGATATTATTTTCTGCCCACTTGGGAAGCATAGCTCAGAACCATTTATGTCCTGAAATAGAATGATTCAACCTATTATAACTCAAAAAAAAAAAAAAAAAAAAAATCACTGCTTACCAATAAATTGTTTTTCATATAATAGAGAAGACAGCACTAATTGTACTTTTGATTTTCAGAATCCATGAAAGTTGTTTTATAGTCTAAAATAAGAAACCAGAGAAAGCCTGAATATCTACATGGCACTTTTAACTTTTCAGAAGATAACTTTTTTCATCAGCCTCTTAATAGGATTTTGAATATGTTTTGCTGCAAGTAGATCACTTTATACTTCTATTTCTGTTATGGGTATAATAATGACTCATAGCAAATTTGTAATAGGATTTATGTGCCTTATTTCAATCAGCAAGACTGATTTGATGGTCAAAAATAAAAGCAATTGCAGTGAGAGCAGTACTGAAACCTGTGGCAGAAACAGAAAGAAGAGCTAATATTTATTAAATACTTTTTGTATGCCCAGCACTGCTCCAGAGACTTTCAAATACATAATTTCATATTCATAACTACTAGGAAAGGTGTAAAAAACAGCTATCTGATAAAAAAATAAACTATTCCCAAACTATTTTGCTCACTCTTCCGTTGATTTCAGACAGTAACTCAGGGTGAAATGTACCAAGAGGAAACCTCACCCGTGGATCTCTGACTCTGCAGTTGAAGCTGGCAGAACTTCCCAACACAGTCTGAATGTCCTCCATCTGGGAAGAATACTCTACATGCAGAGAAAGAGCTTTCTCTCTGGAAACCCAATCTTGACTGCTAACATCTTGCTGTTGCTGACAGAGCATGCCCTTCATCATCTGCAGGTGCACAGGGTCTACAGAACTTTCATTCACAGCATTACTCTGCCTCTCCCTTGCGTGGCTAAAATGCAACCCAGAGACAGGCTCAGCAAAGAGGCCCTCTGTCACTTGACTGCCAGTTCTGTTCAGAGCAGCTGAGTTGCTCTGGGATGGATTTTGATATTTCAGCCACTTGCTTTGAATAGAACTCTCATGAAGCAAAGAAACATCTCCTGGAGTCCTTTGTCCCCACTCTTCACAGAAAGAAGTCCCACCCTGATCCTCAGGTCCAAGGTCAAATGAAAGACCTGATTCTTCACACAGGCTCAACATGGGAACGCCAGAAGACTCTCGGGCATCGTCATCAATCCTGAATGAACAGGAACCTGAGATCGCCGGTCCAGCATCGACAAAGGGAACCGAGGTTCCACCTACAAATGGAGACCTTTGCAGGTTCTGACTCTCTAGAAAACCAACGTTTTTCAATCCTGAAAGTAAACATGATGCTGATTCAATACAAATGTCTAATCAGTCATCACCCAGGCCTACAAAACAGTGGCTACACAGGCAAGGAAGAAGGTTCTGATTTGCTGTATATAATAGAAGATAACATACATCTATCGCCCCTTCCCAAAGTAAATGCTTTAATATCAAAATCTAAAGATTCAAAATTTAATTTAGCAATTTGAAGACTCTTTTAAGGATGACAAATATTAAGTCCTTCTCTTTCCTCCTACTGAGCTAAGTATCTTTAATTTAATTACTCATTATATTTACAGAACATCTAACTTTTCAAAACATTTAAATCCGAGAAAAGCTGAATCATTGCCATTTTACAGATGAGGTAACAAAGGTCCAGAGATCAGTGCATACCAAGTGGCAGTCAGAATTAACAGAGTGAGTTGATATCTACTCACATTCCTTCTGCAAATGAAGTTCATAGCTCATTTAATATGTAACTGTAAATAGCTTTATTATATTTATGAATTATGATACCTTCCACAACAAAAATTTATAAAATTAATCACATAGATGGAATAGTGAATTCATGTCAGATTTTGTCTGAATGAGTTTTATAATTCCTTTCTCCTATCAGCAGCTATTTGAGTAAATATTGCTGAAATGTAAAATATTTACTGAATACATTGAGTGAGCAAACCTGCATAGGAATTGTATATTATAAAAGTTTTTATCTAAAAATATTATAGATTGTTACTTATCTGACACAGTCTCTATTTTATAGGATATTTTGGGGGAGAAGGGGTTGAGACAGGGTTTCTCTGTGTAGCCTTGGAACTCGCTCTGTAGACCAGGCTGGCCTTGAACTCACATAGATCTGCCTGCCTCTACCTCCCAAGTGCTGGGGTTAAAGGCACGCACCACCACCACCCAAAAGAAAATAAAATTTGGGTAGCATAGCGGTAAGTGAGCCAATGAATATTCTTTGGTGAAGTATTAGGCTATAATCCAACAACTGAATAAGCAACAGTGATGGAAAGTTAAAACTCTATTATGGAACTAAAGGCCTCATTCCTGAGAAAATCCCCCTTTTGTTCCACTGCCACTTGATTGACTTCAGAGGATGTACTCCTCCCATACAAGGTCCCCACTTAGCCCAAACTAGCCTTCATCTACCAATCTTCCTGCCTTGTCTCCTGAGGGCTGGGATTACAAGAATACATCCTCATACCCACCTCATTCACATCTCCTCTTACTCTCCTTTTTTCTTTTCTTTTTTTTTTTTTTATCTCATTTATTTATTTATTTTTGGCCTTCAGATACAACCATAAAGCCATCTCCAAATCAACTACCGACACTCATTAATTTTTTCTTTTTTATATTAATCATCCACTCACAACCATGAAAACACCAATAACCTATATAACTTTGCCTGTTACCAAACCTAACTTCAGATTAAGAAAAAAATACATTAATGAAATTATCAGAAAAAAAGAGGTTAGTGGGAAGAGAACCTACTGAATAATATACTTGACAAGAAGCAGAAAAAGGCTCATTTAAAAAAAGTCAAAATGGATATAAACACTTAAGGTCTGAGAACAATGATGGAATCAGCCACTGAAGAGTTCCTGATACTGACAGCATCCTAAAGCAAAGAGAAGATGAAGAGTTTATGCTAAGGTCAACCACTGGTGCCGATGAGACATTTGCTATGAGTCACTTCACAGAAGAACAGAAAGAGAAGCCAATCATTGGTATTTTAGCTGCAAAAAGTACTATGGAAACACAGTGGAAACACTTTCAAAGTTAGTAAAGAGACAACAGAGGAAGAAGAAAGAACGAGAGGAAACTGCATTTGGAACAGCATCCACAACAGGAAAAATCCAAGGGAAGAGACGGTGGGTTCCCTGATATTCATAGCCCAGCACACTCTCACAGATTACATTCATAGCCCAGTATGCTGAGAAAGTGAAGTTCACCACAGAAAGTTCTTGTTTTCAGAGACTCCTCAGAGAACTCAAGCACAAAGTCTTCATTTCTTGTGTCGAAAGAAAAAGTAGGTGCAGGGCTCAGTGCAGGGATCTTTTGTTCTGGTGAAATCACCTGTCCAGAAAAAAAGAAAATCACTAACTAAAATGTTCTTACTGCATCTTTTTCTACTTGTCTGAATTCTAGTAACCTCTAGAACTAACTATTCTAAGCACATTGTATCACTAGTCAACAGGAAATACAAATCAAAACCACAATTAAAAATTATCCTACTCTAACAAGAATAGTCTGCATAAACAGTATTTTTAATTTACAGAGTTAAGAAATTAGAACCACGTATATTAGCTCACTCATGCCCGCAATTCCAGTAGTCTGGAGGATAAGGCAGAATTACTAAATGTTTGGGGCCAGCATGTAAGTTCCAGGTCAGCTTGGCTACTGATACACTGTCTCAAAAAACAAACAAACAAACAAACAAACAAAAACAACAGGCTGAAGACACGGCTCAGGGTTAAGAGCACTTCCTCTACATTCGTTTGGACCAAAGTTCATACCTCAGTACTCACGTAAACGGAGTAGCCTACAAACAATGACTCCAGCTCTGAAGGAGCCAAAGCCTTCTTCTTGCCTTCTCTACAAGCAGGCATACACACATGGGGGAAGGGAAGAGGAGGGGAGGGGAGGGGAGCCCAAAGAAAACAGAATAGTGTTTACCAGCACTTGGGAATGGTGTTGGGAGATATACAGATAGATACAAGAAATAACAAATAATTTTCTGTGGCACATTGTAGAGAAATTTTATACTACAACATGGCTGCTCTGATCACATCTAAAAACCCTTCTAGGACTACTTGATCTGGCTGGAATACAGACATGCTCTTAACACACACCTTTAATCCCAAACAATGTAGGTAAGATTAGTTGGTAAAGAAAGCAGCCATGTTTGAAAGTAATGTCTAACTGAAAGGCAAAGTGATGGATCAGAAAGATTTGACAGAATAGGATATGTACAACTCACACAAGAACAGAGAGGGAGTGGACTTAAGAGACAGCATTGTAGAGAGCAGGTGATAGGGGAGAAGTTTTACTAGGACAGTTTTACAGAGACAGGTTACAGAAAGATTAAGCTACACATAGGTGAAGAAAGACTAGCCAGAGAATGAGGAGCCAGAAGATTAGAACAGATTGCTAGAGTAGGTTTGAGGCTAAGCAGGACAATTCAGTCAGAAGCTGAGAGAAGCCAGTTTGAATCAGTCAGCTTAGAGAAGAGTTTGAGCTTAAAAGCTGAGTTGAACCAGCCAGCCAGAATTCAGAAAGAGCTAGAAAAGGTTAGCTTTTCACCAGTAAGCCTCTAAGACAACGATTACACCTGGCAAATAAAAGCTACATATAGAGTATAGACAACTATGATTAACATAGTTAAGACAGGTGTGGGAACACATGCCTTTAACCTCAGCCCTCAGGAAGTATAGGTACAGATCTCTGTGAGTTCAGCCTTGTCTACATAGTTTCAAACCAGCCAGAGCTATACAATGAGACCATGCCTCAAAAATGAATGAATGAATAAATGAAGGAAGATCTCAACACTCAAAAAGTCTGAGACAAACCAGATCAGGTGAGAGCCTCCCTGAAGCAGAATGAGTTCAAGCCAGTTTAGGCAACATATGAAGGAAGGCCCTGTCTCAAAATTAAAAAACAAAAACTGACAGGGACAGGATACAGCTCAGAAGTAAGCACTGGCCTAAGGACTATAAGGCCCTAGGTTTAGTCTGCAGCACCACCAAAGAGAAAATTAAGAAAGAATTCAAGTGAAGAAAAAACAGCTCTGGCAGACTGTTTCAAAACACTACCAACTGCACTTAGTGCTACTGGATTATACAGTTTACATAGCTGTAAATGATGTTTGTAACTTGCCCAAAAACCTATTCCTGTTTGACTAATAAAAAGCTGACATACCTGGACAGGGCAAAGGGGGTAGCATGGCTAAGGTTCCTGGGCTTGGAGGGCAGAGAAGATCTTGCGAGGAGACAGCACAGGAAGGAGAGAAGGAAGGAGGCCGCATCTATGGGTTAGGTAGAAAAAAAAAACCACATGGCCGGCATGGAGGAAGGAATGGCCCAGATGAAGAATATAAGCAAGTACCTTGGGATTATGGATGGAAGGTAGACCAGATAGAAATGATTAAAGCAGATGGAATGGGATGTGGGCTGGGAGATATGAGATAGCGTAGGTGGATTTATCTGCGCAGCCCAAGGTGAAACAAGACAATTTCAAAACCTATCAGGAGTCTGTGTCCTTTATTGATTATAATAGCAGGTTAGATAATACTGCCATAATAATTATAGGGCTAATAATATTAGCCCTATACCTTTAAATTAACAACTTAAGGAAGATAAATGTAATGATACCTATTTTACCTTTTCTTAGATTATTATTCTATTTTGTCTGCATGTATGTATGTGTACCACGTGCATGCCTAGTACCCATAGAGGTTAGAAAAGGGCATCAGAGCCCATAAAACTAGAGTTCTGAATGTTTGTAAGCTACCAGGTAGGTGCTGGGAAACAAGTCTAGGTCCTCTGCAAAAGGAACAAGTAATCTTTGCTGCTGAGCCATCTCTCTAGCCCCCACAATAAAGTTTTTAATGTTTCTCGAGTCTAACTGATCAAGCATTGTTTAATTAACTGCTTTTCTTTCTGGTATTTAACAAAATAGTGCTTCTAACATCAGAGATTGATGAAATTCAGAACGTGTCTTAAAGTTCAGGGAACACCCTATGCTAGCAATCCATCACACTTATTGAGAGACACTGTCTTGGGAGGTCTAGTCATTTTGTGACAAACTCGGAATTTCCCTATGTCTATAACTAACATATTAACAATAATTAGAAATATGACAATGGACACGAGTACACAAGTTTCCTCATTTGGTCTCTTTTTTCCTTTGACTGCCTAGAACTCTCTATATAGCCCAGGTTGGCCTTGCACTTAAATGTACCTAGTTCAGCTTCTCAACTGCTGGAATTAAGAGCCATCATACACAGTAAGTTTCTTTTTTTAATAATTCAAACAATAGTGACTACAATTTATAATACACTATTACGAAGAGTAGGAAATAGTGTAGACTTGGCAACACAGAAGAAAAGCAAAGCAAAGCACCCCCTAGAGGAAGGACTAATTATATATAAGCTGATTTAAAGCCACAAACCACAGGCCAGCACATCAGAAAGCATGTGTGCCTTGTGTAGTCTGAGTATAGCTACGATGGTTCTTGTCAGTTTACCCTTGGACTCCTTCAATTTACCCTTGGACTCCTTTTGTATGAGGATTTATAGAATTTGGTACTGACATAGAAAATGACTTGGGATTTTCCATCCCACTACTTTGCCTGCTCTCCCAGAGGCCACACAAGCACCAGGGACCCCAGACAGAAGCGTAGCATAGCCATCATCGGAGAGGTTTCACTCAACAACTGATGGAAACAGATGCAGAGAGCCACAGGCAAACATTAGGTGGAGCTTGGATAATCCTGTTGAAGGCAGGGAGGAAAGATTGCAGGAGCCAGAGGGGTCCAAGACACTATAAGAAAGCCTATAGAATCAACTCTTCTGGCCCCAGAGGGACCCACAGAGAATGAACCGCCAAAAGAGCGTGCGTGGTACTGACCTAGGACCTCCGCACATATGTAACAGCTGTACAGCTTGGTCTTCATGTAGAACTTCTAACAGTGGGAGCAGGAGCTGTCTCTGATTCTGTTGGCCGCCTCTGGATCCCTTTCTAACTGGGCTGCCTCTCCTAGCCTCAATAGAAGATGTACCTAGTTACTACAACTTTATATGCCAAGGCTAGGTGATATCTATGGGAGGCATCCCCTTTTGAAGAGAAAGGGAGAAGGAATGGATTAGGGGTAGAGGTGAGAAAGGACAAGAGGGAATGGAAACTGAGGTCAGAATGTAAATTTAATTAATTAACTAGTAGAAAGAAAGACAAAATTACTTGGGGAGGGGGCTGGAGAAATGGCTCAGGTGTTAAGAGCAGCAATAGCTGCTGGACAGTGGTGGCACATACCTATAATCCCAGCACTAGGGAGGCAGAGGCAGATGGATCTCTGAGTTCAAGGCCAGCCTCATCCACAGCCAGGTCAGCTATGGCTACACAGAGAAACCACAGAAAAAGAAAAAACAAAAAAAACAAAACATTGGCTGTTCCTCCAAAGATATTGAGTTCAATTCCGAGAAATCACACAGTGGCTCACAACCATCTGTAGCGGGATCTGATTCCCTCTTCTGGTATGTATGAAGACAGAGAACGCACATACATAAAATACATGAATAAAAAAATAAACAAAAGAAAGTTGACGTCTGACCTCTGCATGTATGCCAAGCATGTGCACATGTGCACAGATATACACACATACATACACATAAACATACAAACAAATGCAAAAATGTTTTAAAAAAAAAAAGAGAAAAAAAAGAAAGAAAATGACTTGGTGGAATGTAACTATAAAAATGACTTTTACCTGCAAGAAGTCAGTCTGCACACAAGTGCTAGGCAACTCTGCTGTCCAAACACCAGAATTGGTCATGAAGTTTTCACATTCAATGCTATCTGGAAACTGACTGCATCCTAGCTGTAAGCTGTGTCCTCTGACCATTACACCACTAGTAGCCGATCCTTTCACCTGATGTCCTTGAAACTCAACAGGCTACAGGTAAATTATTAAAAATAAGAATGTCATAAGTATATGACATGTATTTATAATATATACAATAGAAATATTCCTCCTTATTATATACTAATGTATTGTAAGCCCTTTGAGTGCACAGAACTTTTTGCTTCATCTAAGAATCACCACTATTTAATAGTGTCTGTCATACAGAAAGCAATCAAACAAACACAAAATAAAAAAAGAGGGAAGAGAAGAAATGAAGCAGCACTTTGCTGGAGTAGTCTGTAAATGGTCAGGCTTAACTACGAAGCAGAGCACAGGATTTCGGCAACTCTATACCTGTGAAGGGTATGACTGCAATGCAGACTTACTCCCTCAGAGACTTCATTACGTCCTGTCTCTCAAATGGCTTTCTCTGCTGCCCCCTTGAGGATTTTAACATTTTTACTCCACATAGGGTAACAATGCCCACCCAAGACATGGGAAAATAAAATAGCTAAAAAGGCCAAAAGAATGTCCATAAAGGATTTATTTCTAATGTATGAATTAACAAAATGAAAACTATACATACTCTGAATCTACTGTTACTTAATAATAAAGATTCTAAAGCTCATTTGAAAGGAAAATCAAACCTAAATGTTTTTATAACAGAACTTCAGTTGAAAAATTATTTTGTATTGCTGGGAATGGAAACCAGAGATTCATACATGTAAGGCAAGTGTTCTGTTACTTTTCATGACCGCATCCTGAAACTATTCTTCTATATTTAAAAACATACACATTTTAACAAAAACAAATCTTGATAAACTTTAAATATTCTACCTACCTACATTTGCTTTACTCAATGGGAATCTTCTAAGTGCCTGGTTCTGTGAAATCACATAGAATTCTTCCAGTGATAGAATGGGACTTTAGGATCACAATCTTTTATTTACAAACTCAACCATACATGTGCTACCTGTCATTTTTTCCAGATATTTTATTTTGTATAACGGATATTTCACCTGCCTGCATGTCTGTGCACTACATGAGTACAAGGACTTTGGAAGCCAGAAAGGATGTCAAATCTGGAACTAGAGTTACAGTTGATTTTTAGTTGCTATGTGGGTGCTAGGACTTAAACGTGGGTCCTTTGCAAGAGCCCCTTGTCTACCAATTTTTGATGTACATTAAGTAGCACTACTTAAATATCTGTATACATTTTGTCAGAAATAGAACAGTGTAGAACACATGGTAAAGCTGTAGAGAAACTCATTTTGTTCATCACAGAACATGCTTTGTGGCCAGCCTCTAGAGCTTTATTTACATATTAAAGTAGTCCATTAAGACGGAAAGTAAGATGAAATGAAGTCAAATGAAGCATTTCTTTGTTCCAAACCTATCTGCTAAAAAGGGCAGTGCCATGAGAACTGTCCCACCAAAAATGCTAAGAGTATCTGAGAAAAACCAATCTTGATGACTTAGTTAATAACTTCAATTCATCCTAATTAGCACAATTTTTTCTCAGATTGCTACCATTGTTTCTAAACTGCTGAACAAGGTCTTCCAGAATGCCATGGTAGTCATGGGAGTCTCTACCAAATGAAACAGTAACACACATCATCTCTGGACACCAAACTAACTCAAGGACAATTTCAACATCTGGCCTCACTATAGTCTTTCAGTGACATGTCTCTCATTGTTTTGAGATTTTTAATTTTTAAAAAAATATATAATTTCATGTGCATGGGTATTGTGTCTGCATGTATGTCTGTATACCATGTGTGTGCCTGATGACCTTGGAGGCCAAGAGAGAGCCTCAGATCCTGCTAGAACTGGAGTTACACTCAGTTGTGAGTCACCTGGGAAGTCTGGAAGAATAACCACTGTTCTGAGCCATCTTTTCAGCCCCTTTTAAAGTTTGGGACAGGATCACACCATGTAGACATGACTGCCCTAACCCACTATGTAGCTTGCATAGGCCTCAACTATGCAGCAACTCTACTTATGTCTCCTTCTGTCTCCTGCCAGCCAACATTAGTTTTCAGGTGGAGCTCAGTTTTTAAACACTGCCATTTGTCAGTTTAGACAACTGCAATTATCACAAGGAAAATCAATGCGGAACAAGAAGTAGAATAGTGTCTCACTTACTCTACTCTGAGGTCAAAGTGCCGTATAATACCTCATAGGGGCATATGCATTCATGGCTGTGTTTACTTGATAATAAATTGGTGAGTTACTAGTACACACGTACTTACCATCATTCATGGCTAGTATTCAACAAATGGACTAGTATACATTTCTTTTGGCCAAGAAATGAAATAAAGAAAAATAGCTCAATTATGAGGAGAGTCATAGATCCGTGGAGATAACCTAGAACCCTGACAATGCAGCCACTTCTGATGAAAACTGATAGACTAAGATCAGAAAGGAGAGGAGGACCTCCCCTATCAGTGGACTTGGGGAGGGGCATGCATGCAGAAAGGGGAGGGAGGGCAGGATCGGGAGGGGAGGAGGTAGGGGCTTATGGGGGGATACAAAATGAATAAAGTGTAATTAATAAAAATTAAAAAAAAAAGATTAAAAAAAAAAAAAGAATGTTTGGGCCCTTCTGTATTGCTACAATTCCAGCATAAATTACAGAACACTATTGTGCTGGCTACTTTTATGTCAGCATGACACAAGTCAGAGTCAGCAGAGAGGAGGTACCTCAGTTGAGGAAATGCCACTATCAAGACTGGACTGTAAGCTGGGAGCAGTGGCGTGTGCACTTTGAGGAGGACTGTGGAAGAACTCTGGAACTTTAGGCTGGAAAAGCCACTGAGTGTTCAATGCTCAGTGGGCTGTTCTGTAGCAGCTTGGAAAATATTGAGAGCAGTGTAGACAACAGAGGCCTGGTTTTAAGTTTCAGAGTGAAGCAGACTGTACCAGTGCATTTGTGTAAAGAATCTGTGGTATCTTGTCAGCTGGGGCTGAAGAATCAGCTGTGATCAACAAAGGACCAGAACCACTAAGGTAAAACTGCTTTGAGAGACAATGAGTGCTGGCCAGCTGGGGCTGAAAATCAGCTGTGTTTAAGAGGCCAGCATCACTGAGGTGAAATGGTCTGGGAAGTGTTTCCGCAAAGACAGCACACAGAAGCTGTGTTCACGAGGTGGCCAGTTGTACCTTGTGCTGGCAGCTGAACTTGCTAGAATAAGAACCACCTAGCTGGTACTGGTTTTGAAGGCATGAAGGGGTCACAAAGAACAGCTGAGGCTTGGAACTGTGAGAGGCCAGGAGAGGACATGGGTGAGGGTGCAGCCTCAGTAGCACCTGAAGGCCCAGGACTGAAGAGGTTGTGCAGAGAAGTTAAGGCCTGGCACCATAAACAGAGCCTATGAGAGGCTATTGATAAAAGTGCAACCCAGTCTCAGCAAGAGACCCCAGAACTTCGGAGATGCCAGTACCATAGGATGTCCACTAAGAACAGCAGCAGGTGTGAAGTGAAACAGACATAAGCCTACATGACAAGCTGTGTGTGCTCAGAGGGTGGCGCCCGAGAAGTGAGACAGGCCCCTTGGAGGAATCCAGATCATGAGTGAATCTCTGATACTGGACATTGAGTTATTTATAGTTGGAGTTTTGCTTTACTTTGCTTGTGACTGTCCTGGTTCTTCCCTCTTGAGGTAAGGAAGTCTTTAACCTTGTATTGATTTCATAGGAGCCCATAGCTAAAAGACTGAACTTTTAAGGAGTCTATGGATTTTTAAAAAGGCAGATTTTAAGATGTTTGGCTATGGGACTTCTCAAGTTTATAAAAATGTCTTATATTGTGATGTTTATATTGTGTGATTTTGGGGATGAACAAGAAAGGAAAGGTTGTAGCTTATCAGTGATGCATTTGTGTATCAATTGACAAGGGGTCAGTTTTTCTGCTTAGTTTTGTCAACTTGATACAAGCTAGAGTCATCAGAAAAGAGAAAGAGCCTCAACTGAGAAAAATGCTTCTATAATAGTGGTTCTCAAACTATGGGTCTTGACCCCTTGGGGTTTGCATGATCCTTTAGGTGACAGTGGTCACCTCAGACTATCAGGAAACACAGATATTTACATTATAATTCATAAGAGTAGCCAAATTACAGTTACTAAGTAGCAACAAAAATAATTTCATGGTTGGAAGTAACCGCAACATGAGGAACTGTATTAAAGGGTTGTAGTATTAGGAAGCTTGATAGCCACTGCTCTTTAAGATCAACTATAGAAAAGTTTAAGTAGAAATTCATGAGGGAGGGTCAAAACTACTGTGGATGCTGCACTCTTGGATTCTGTAAGAAAGCAGGCTGAAGCTGGGCAGTGGTGGTGCACATATACAGAAACCTCGTCTCGAAAAATCAAAACAAAACCAAGCTGAGCGTTCTATGAGGAGCAAGCCTATAAGCAGCACCTCTCCGTGGCCTCTGTATCAGCTCTTGCCTCCAGGTCTTGCCCTGTATGAGTTCCTGTCCTGACTTCCTTCAATGATAGACTATGATGTGGAAGTCAAAGATCTGGCTGTAGGGCATTTTCTTAGTGATTAATGGGAAATAACGCAGGCCACTGTGAATAGTGTCACCCTGAGCTGGTGGTCCTGGGTTCTATAAGGAGACTGAGCAGGCTAAAAGGAGCAAGTCAATAAGCACCACTCCTCCACAGCCTCTGCATCAGCTCCTGCTTCTAGCTTCCTGCCCTGGCTTTCCCAGAAATGAACTGTTGGCCTGAAACGTAAGCTGAAATAAACCCTTTCCTCCCCTAGTTGCTTTTGGTCATAGTGTTTTGTCATAGCAATAGTGACCCTAACACAATTCTTATCAGCTATATGACATAAATGATACCTAAATACATAAATACCAGAAAGGGGGCAGAGAAGAGATAGCAGTGAAAAAGTATAGTCAAAGTATATGCTGTACACATATGAAAACATCACTATTTTCTATATCAGAAAAACAGTAGCTTAGAGAGAAATACATATGTACCTGCTGAGAAGGCCGATGCTCATGTGGACACTCTAGCAGAGCATGTGAAACTATGGCAGGTGAGTTCCTGGCTGGAATGGAAGAATTAAGCAGCCTTATTTACCATTAAGCATCACAGTGTTTCCAAATAAACATTTACTTCTAAAACTTTAAAAAGTAACGTCTTGCTAATCATTTTATCTCGAGTGTGAGTAAAGGTTCAGTGGACTAATCTGAATAGGCTGGTATATTCTTAAGACAAAAAATTCAATATACTTAAAATAAAAACATTACTGGTTACTTTCTTTAAAAAAATAAGACCAAATGTAGCCATACGCCTTTAATCCCAGTACTCAGAAATGAGAAGTGGATAGAAGGGCAGCCTAGTTTACATTGAATTCCAGGGCAGCCAGCGCTAAATGGAGAAACCCTCTCAAGTAGATAGATCAGACACACAGACAGGCAGTCAAACAGATAAGATTTCATTCTTTGCATGAATATTTGTCTATACACACATGCATGTTAGGTGCCTACAGAGGCCAGGAGCCAGATCTAAATCCTCTGCAAAAGCAGCAAGCTCTTAACTGCTGAGCCATCTCTCCAGCTCCCTTACTGGTCACTATGTCTCAGTGGGGATATGTGTTTGCATTTTTTTTGTCAACCTATTTTAGAAAATAATATACTCTAAGCCAGCATGCTGGCACACACCTGTAATCCCAGCACTCAGGGAGGCAGAGGTAGGGGCATCTGTGTGAGTTGAAGGCTAGACCGTTCTACAAAGCCAGTCCAGGACAGCTAAGGCTACACAGAGAAACCCTATCTTGAAAACCCAAAAATAAAATAAAATAATATAATATAAATTTAAAAATAATATAAACCAATAGACAATCACCTATAATATGAATGTTAAAACTGAAGTATTTCCCAATTGCTAAGAATAAGAAAGCTAATAAAACCATTACACTATTATTATGAACAACATGGGTAAAGGGGGACAGAGAACCAGTCTATCCAAACCTATCTTAAATCCACCTGACTTTAACTGAGACCTAAAGCAAGGTTAAGCTGAAGGACAGAAGCGGGTGTGAAAACAAAAGCAGGGTATGAGGCTGACGGGGTGGCAGATCCACAGCACAGACACAGTCCCAAAAAGACAACACTCTGCCTTATTTTATACTGCACACACAAGTCTTTTTTATTTAGTAGCAAATTTAGGACCACAACTTTCACATTTGTGTGGTTTTATTGATGATTTCACTATTTTCAAGTCCCCTAGAGTTAGTGCTATCTCGTGTTAAGTGAATGACAGTTGTAATGTCTGCTGCAGAGAAAATATGTCTGGATCATTTTGATTATGTACAAGTCGTAGTGTTGCTGGCTATGAGTTCGATGCTAATAAGGAAAAATTTTATAAATAAAGAGGATTTTAAGTAAAGACACAATTGTGTGTTGATGAGTAGATGAAAATGTTCTGGACAGAGGTGTGCAGGACACCAACCTTACATGTCTCATGTGGCCAAGGATTCAACAGTTTGGTGCTTAAGCTCATCACAGAACAGTGTGAAGCAACTATGATCCTCTTCTAACTTGACAAAAAAATCATTTTCTCAAAATAAAATTCTACATTTCCAAATCTTCATATTACAAAGCTATACTCTTATTTTGGTTTATAAACCAGTTACACCTACTCATTTTTTCAATTAAAATTTTTATTTTGTTTTAGAAAATACGCTATAGGCACTATCAAACAACCACAGTTCAAAGAATTTTAGAATGTATAGTAATTTACTCCTACTTTTAGAAAAAATGACTTGAGATATCCAAATAAGGATTTCTTTAACGTTGGGTATCAGAGTATTGTTCATTTACCTTCATATGTTATAGATTAGTAGGTGCTATATTGCAGGGTATAGAGCTATACAGCAAGATGCTGTCTTCAAATGTATACACATGCCTGATGGTGGTGGCACAGGCCTTTAATCCCAGCACTTGGGAGACAGATGCAGGCAGATCTCTGTGAATTTGAGGCCAGCCGGGTTTACAGAGTGAGTTCCAGGACAGCCAGAGCTACACAGAGAAACCCTGTCTCAAAAACAAAACAGACAACAACAAAAATCACACACACACATAAACTGGGTGGTGGTGCATGCCTTCAAACCCAGTACATAGGAGGCAGAGGCAGTCAGATCTCTGAGTTTGAAGCCAGCTGGTCTACAGAGCAAATTCTAGGATAGTGCAGACTACAAACAGAAACCCTATCTTGAAAAACCCAAACAACTAACAAAAAAACCAAACATACATATGCCACAAATATCATAAAGGATTAATATTGCCAACACATTTTAAAAAATTATTATAAGAATAAAAAGACCAAAGCCCATTTAAAAAATGAAGAGTTCATGAAAACGGCAGGATTATGACGTCTAAGAGGAGAGGCTCCAGTCACCTACTAATGTGACTTAGGAAGGACATGTGAACTTTACACAAGTAACAGTTTTTTGTGGACTATATCACTGTAACAATTTGGCAAATATCTGGTAAGCACTGTGGAATTTGGGGAGTAAAATACACTGACATCTTGAGTCAGGGCCCTTTCACACTGTAGGATTAAAGAAATATTACAGAATGGAGCAGAGGGCAGTCTTATACCGCAGACTTGGGATGGGGTATAGACATGTAAATGGAAAGCACTGCAGGTTTGGGTTAGTATGCTTAACCTGAACGTATCCTTGCTTATACCTGTCAATGTGTGTTCTGCATATTCCCAGGGCATTTCAAGGTTACTGTTCAATAAACAGAGGAACTGCGGTAGGAAGACGTACTCTTCATTATATTAGCCTCTATTAGAGTTAGCATTACAAAATATATGGATTACACTGTGTAATCCTTGCCCTGTTTGTTGAGGGAGGGTCTTACACAGCCATGTTGGCCTCAAACTCACTACACAACTGCAAAAACTTTGAGTTCTCCTTGTATTGTCTCTACAATGGCTGAGGCACCACATATGTAAATGTCTAATACAGCAGGACAGTAATAATCTTCCCTTCCATTGGGCTACAAAGGGAAACATCCAAAACAAGACAGGTGACTCTAACCTTTAGGACTGTTATCTGGGTCTCCTCTGCACCAAACTTCTTGTGGAAAGGCATGCTTTTTCTTCAGTATTGCCAAGCTTCCTAATGCTGTATTATGCTCAGACTGTGACTTTAAAACAGACATGTTATTTATTACTTCAGAAAGTTCTGAAGAATTTCTAGAAGTAGCACAGGATTGCTGTTTTCTCTGTGTAGTTTCCACTTCAAAAAGATCACAGGGCATACTTCTAATCCTTCCTAATTCTTCAGATTCAGAAATATATGCTTCACTGCCTTTGTACACAGGATGTTTTGTTCCCACAGGATACAATAAAGAACTAGAAACTTGGGTGTTAGATTTATCTAGTTCACAAAATTCTGAGTGATTCTGAGTGGTAGTCAATGACTGGATATCAATGCCGCTGTTAGAGACTGGCAAAAACACCTGCTCAGCATTTTTGTCTACGTGACTTCCCAACATAAAAGGCTGAGACCAAGTACCTTCTGAGAATAGGTCACTGTTTTCAGGAGCCGGATTAGTGACTGTGTTTAAAGGATAAGGAATATGTAAGCTTGTATCTGTACCTCTGGAGTTATTTGAAGGTGAAACAATACCATCATTAATGCCATTCCTTTGAATAGATTTATTAGCATCTTCTTTGCTGTGTCCTGGTGCATCCTCATTCCACTCCAGTGATGAGTCCAAACTGCTCCCTGTGTCACCACACTGCTCCTCTATCGTTTTTCCAGTGTCTGCATCTTCATACAGTCCTGCATAAAAACCCACACACGTTCTATCACAAAATTCTGACAACAGAGTCTTGTTAGCAGGAAGCATCTCTTTAGGCTCGTCACTGGCAGACGGTGGAAGTAACAAGCGTTTCTGTGTGATTTCTTGGCAGCCTATATCCCCACAGCTCTTCTGAACACACAGATCATCTGTAAGCAAAATCTCCTTTTCCCAACTCTCTGAGTCCTGGGAAACTTTGCTATCTTCTTGCGATGCCTCATCAGTGTCACTGGTCTCAAAGTTGCTCAGATTAAAAGAAACTTCCAGAAATGGTTGCAGAGGATTATGAAGAGTATTCATACTTACTCTATCAGCATAACTTTCAGCAGCCATGTCGACAATGTCATCTGAAACTTTAGAATTGTTACTTACAGAACACTCAGTTTCACTTTGTTTTTGTTCCATTTCTGGCGATGGTGACACTGGTCTGTACTCTGCTTCCAGCGCTGCATTTGCCCCCTCGAGACTTTCTCCAGTGCAAGGCGACCCCTCCATACACATCTGGTCATTCTGATTAAACGATACTTTGCTACTGTTCTGAATGTCACATTCTGGTAATAAATCGACATTTTCTTTACTGTTACAGCTGACCAGTAAGCTGCTTTTCTCATAGAACGAAGGTGCTGGGTTTTCTTCCTGATTCTTGTACTGGCAATTATTATCTACTGGTTTGTTTTCACTGTACAATTCTATGTTATCAGTACATGTTTCAAAGAGCTCTGACTTTTTTGGTACCAAAAGTTCAGAAAAATTAAAAATGTTCACATCTTTTTGGGCTTCTGGTTTGTCCTCTGTATCATTCTCATCTCTAGCAGAACAAGGAGGCGATCTCTGTGAGGATAAATACATGGTCCACCGGCTTGTAGTCCTTGTGGGATTTTCTGACTGTAGCTCACAGCCTAAACTCCCTGTGCTCTGTGTCTCAGCATATTTTTCCTTCGGCTGGGAAGTACCCTCTAAACATACCTGTGGCCATCCGTTAGGAAAACGTCCTGTAATCTCACAATGCAGATCACTACTCTTGTTACTTGAGCTGGATTTCAGAAGCGCTAATATCTGTGCTTTGCTTCTGAGGTTTTGTGAAACTCCAGGGCAGTGAGAGTCGGAACTATTTCTTCTCATGGGCTCTTTGGCCAATAAAGAGTTTAAATGTTGGGCTTCAGAACTGACAGGAAAGCAAAAATTGTCCTCTTTACCTAGAGTGTCTGAGTTAATCCTCAAGGATGAAGAGACAAGCGAAAAAGGCCTGTTGTTTCTCTCTCTGTTCCTGAAAGTGGCAATATTCTCACTGCCTGCTGATGTATGATTTATATCTTTCTGACCAACAGTAGAAAACAAAGGAAGTGTGCTAGAGAATGAGGGAGGAAATGTCGAGCCAGGCTTCATATCACCAAGTGAGGCAGCCAATTCACCATGTTCTGTAACAGTCACTGTCTTTGGTACCTTATATGGTCTTTGAAAACCCTAAACACATTAAAACAATCGTTAGTTATACAATTATTTCTAAGAAAATTTTAAAATCAATTTGCTAAAAAGAATATGTATGCTTTGCCTAAGGTATATAATATTTTAAAATTTGCTAAATTAAAATATAAACTTTGTTGGATTTTTTTGTTTTGTTTTGTTTTTGAGACAGGGTTTTTTTGTAGCCGTGGTTGTCCTGGCTTACTTTGTGGACCTGGCCTTGAACTCACAGAGATCTGACTGCCTATGCCTCCCTGAGTGCTGGGATTACAGGTGTGTACCACCATGCCTGGCTATAAATGTAACTAAACTTAACAATATTTGTGAGTGCTGGGATTAGAGGTGTGCACTACCACGCCCAGCTATAAAAACTTTCTTTCTTTCTTTCTTTCTTTCTTTCTTTCTTTCTTTCTTTCTTTCTTTCTTTCTTTCTTAAACTTAACAATATTTGTGAGTGCTGGGATTAGAGGTGTGCACTACCACGCCCAGCTATAAAAACTTACTTTCTTTCTTCCTTCCTTCCTTCCTTCCTTCCTTCCTTCCTTCCTTCCTTCCTTCCTTTTTTAATATTTATTTATTTATTATGTATACAGTGTCCTGCCTTCATGTGTCCCTGCACGCCAGAAGAGGGCACCAGATCTCACTATAGATGGTTATGAGCCACCATGTGGTCGCTGGGAACTGAACTCAGGACCCTTGGAAGAGCAGCCAGGGCTCTCAACCTCTGAGCCATCTCTCCAGCCCTAAACTTTCTTTAGTGAGACTTTTCTAACTTGCATTTACTTTGTTACCTAAGTAAACTATGAAGCACCATTTAAATAGCAACCTATGGTAAAAACTTACTAGTTTCAAAAATAACTTGATAACTATACACTGAAATATTAGTTTCCACGCAGGAACTTACAGTTGCCTTCCTTTTTAAGCCAGAGGGCTGACACCCAAGAGACCGGCTGGAGGATGTAACTATCCTCGGGCCTGACTCCAGTGCTTCCGCAGGGCCACCAGGTTTAACAGCTCTGCTTCCAGCAGCCTTAGCCTCCTCAACTGTGATTAAGTATCGCTCACTTTCCAAGTCATCTCCAGGCTTCACCTACATTTTAAAGAATAAACATCAAAATTGCATTCAGGTGATTTTATATATACCATATATGGCAGCAGGCTCCCTAGCAATGAACAAAATCATTCAATGAACATTCAACGAAACTGGAAAAAAAAAAAAAAATCAATCATCAAATCCCTCAACTTTTGATTACTATGTACTAGCTAACCATCCAAAACACAGACAAAAAAAGGATAATAATGCAATAAAAACTCACTAATTTATTTATTCAGCAGTATATACTGTGGTGCTACTGAAGCCCTTTGTCACATGCTATGAACACAAAGACAAGCAGAATGCTTTCTTTCACTTAGTTCACTTAGAATCCATACAACTACATGCAATTTTAGTTTTGTTTTGCTTTTTTTTTTAATTTATTTTATTTTATGTGTGAAGGTGTCAGATTCCTTGGAATTGGTGGTACAGACAGTTGTGAGCTGCCATGTGGGTGCTGGGAATTGAACCCGGGTCCATTTGGAAGAGCAGATAGTACTCTTAACCACTGAGCCATCTCTCCAGCCCCTGCTTTTCTGTTTTTTGAGACAGGATTTTTCTGTGAATCCTTGGCTGTCCTGGACTCGCTTTATAGACCAGACTGGCCTTGAACTCACAGATATCCACCTGCCTCTGCCTGCCTTCCTGAGTGCTGGGATTATAGGAGTGTGTCACCACACCCAGCTCTAAATGCAATTTTCTAAAAAGCGAAAGCTGTTAGTTCTCAATTCTGTATCCTTATAAATGTATGTGAATTACAACTTCATAATTATCATAAGTATTGTTAAATTTAGTAACATAATCATATTACCTAGAAAAGGGGACATTGCATAGTCATTTTATTAACTTGACACCAACTCTAGGGTAAAATACTAAGATTACCAACTTAGAAAATACATTTTAGGCTGGGCATGATGACAAACACCTTTAATCCCAGTGCTTGGAAGACAAAGGTAGGTGGATCTCTGTGAGTTCAAGCCCAGTCTGAGTCTAGGATAGCCAGGGCTATTACACAGAGAAATCCTGTCTCAAAATAACAAAAAAAAAAAAAAAAAAAAAAAGGAAAGAAAGAAAATAATTTTTATCCTATTAAATAACAGTAGCTACATTAATTAAGCACCTACTAACAAAATAGGTCTTCTCTCCTAGACCCCCTTTTCATAAATCTGAAAGAACATCCACTATTCATGACACAAGACTTCATAGCCAAGTATCCACACAGAGATATTAATGGTATGACATTATATTAGGTAATGTCTGATCTCCAGAACAACACTGATCTCCGTTTCCAGTTGAAGAGTGGACACGGGTCGTGGGCTGCATAGGAGGTGTTCAGAGTCTGAAAGGAGCCCAGAGCAGTTCTAATGTCTGCAATTTCTTTCCATCTTCAAACACAAGAAAAACAAAAAAATTGTATATGAGAAAATACTTAAATGGGAATAATTTCACAAAGACTGCCACACCACTGTGTGAAGTCTAATGACAGAACTCAGCGGTGGAACATAGACCTCATATGAATGAAGCCTTCACTTCCATCCCCAGCACAACAAAATCTCACCTAACAGAAGCCAATTCTAGAGTCACATCCTGGGTTTGAATATGAGCCATCACCATCCATGTTGATCCTATGAGCATCAACATGCTACTAAATCTTTTGTGCTGCACTGCTAATGTAAAAGCATCATAACATTGTCATAAAAATTCAAATTAGATAAAGGCTGTTAGCACAAGGTACTAATAAATAAACAATAATACCACCTATTATCAGCATCAACACTATGACTAAACCATTAACAAGTCATAAACAAGTATCTAAGTAAATTTATAAATTTCAAGGAAGTAATGTAAATCATTAAAATACCTCAAGGCCCTTAAGAAACAGACTTTCCAAACATGCTCCTTTGTCATCATATAAAATTGCCTGTTTAAAACAAGATCAAAGTTAAAAATTTTTTCTTTGTGTTTCTTGGAATCTTTAATAGCAAATCAAAATTTGTCATGTAAGTAACTCATACAAGACAGGAATTATAAACATTCTGTAACTTGTATTTAACAGTATTTCTATTTCAAGTGCACTGAGCATGAGTGCTGAGACACCGTGTAAGAAATGTAAGGACTCTTGTGCTGCGGAGATGGCGCTGTTAGTAAAGCAAAGGACCTGGAGTCAGTCCCCAGCATTTATGCAAAGCTTGCTGTGGGCCTGTAGGAGGGGAGGGAGACAGAGAGACAGGAGAGGCCAGTATAGCAAGCCAGTGAGCTCTGGGTTCAGTGCAGGAGACAGCCAGGGTGGACCTCTGACCTCTACACACACCCCTGCACACACACACCTAAAGAAAGAAATTAAAAACTTGATTCCAACCAGGAAGATACTTGAACGGAATATTGGGAAGGGAACAGAATTGGAATGCACTGAGTGGGGCCAGTAGGAAATGAGATCAGGGGCAGGAGAGATGGCTCAGTGGTTAAGAATGCTTGCTTCCACATGTGAGTTCTTTTCCCAGCACCCATGTCAGGTGTCTCACAATTGCCTGTAACTCTAACTCCAAAGTCCTCTTTGCAAGTTTTTAAAAATAAAATTAAAAAATTTTGAAAGCCAGATGTAGTGGTACACGTCTTTAATCCAGCACTTGGAAGGCATAGGCACGTGGATCTCTGTGAGTTCAAGGCCAGGCTAGTCTATATACAAAGAGGCTGTCTCAAAAGTAAATAAATAAATAAATAAATAAATAAATAAATAAATAAATAAATGAATGAATGAATGAATAAATAAATAAATGTGATAGGTTTATATAAGTTGAAATTGCTGGCTTAAGGCAAAGCTGTTTTTTTTTTTTAACAAATTAAATATTGTTTAAAATACAGTTAATTACCTCTTCCCTACTGAAAAGCTTTCTTTAGTGATAACTTTATAACAATGGTTCTTAACCTGTGGGTTGAGACCCCATTGACAAACCTCTATCTTCAAAGATATACATTACAATTCGTAACACTAGCAAAATTAAAAAAGCTATGAAGGAGCAACCAAAATAATTTTATGATTGCCGGTCACAATATGAGAACTATGTAAAAGGGTCACAGAGTTTGAGAACCATTGCTTTAAAATGACAGAGAAGCAGAATAAAGACAGAATGTGAAAAGCCTTCACTTAAGAGCACATATTTGATCAAGAGGTTGTAATTGTCAGTAGTATGCACACAACCAAGTTTCTGTAATATGTTAATATTTAAAAAGACTTAGCTACAGCCAGGTTGTGGCAGCACATGCTTTAATACCAGCATTTGGGAGGCAGAAGCAGCAGGATCTCTGAATTTGAGGCCAGACTGGTCTAAAGAGCGAGTTCTAGGACAGCTAGGGCTACAAAAAGAAACCTTGTCAGAAGAAGGAAGGAAAGAGGGAAGGAAGGAAGGAAGGAAGGAAGGAAGGAAGGAAGGAAGGAAGGA